TAACAACAACTTCTCTTTCAATGACAAAAACTATCTACAGATAGACGGCACTAGTATGGGCACAAAAATGGCCCGTCATATACATTTTGTACCAACATATTTATGGGCCAACTTGAAAAACGTCTCTTGGCTAGTGCTCCATACCAGCCATTATCATGGTTTCGATTATTTTAAATTGACAGATTCACAAGACCATCTGAATGAATTTCTAAAACACTGTAACTCTTTCCACCATTCATTTAAATTTACACACGAAACATCAATGGAGAAAATAAACTTCCTTGATACTACGAGTTACATCCAGAACGGAACCATTATAACGGATCTCCATACGAAGAAAACAGACAAACATCAATTTCTCTCTCCTAAAAGTTGCCACCTTAAACACTGCTACCGTGGTATCCCTTTCAGTCAGGCATTGCGAATCAAGATAATATGCTCAACTGAAAATAAGCAAAATGCTAGACTTGGACAACTACGTAAACATCTAGTTGTTCGAGGATTCAATAACAACAGCATCGATACAGCTTGCGAAAAAGCAAACAGAACTAGCCGCCAAGAACTTTTGGAATAGAAGGACGAAAATAAAGGAGTCAATAGAACCTCTTGTACCTACCTACCATCCTGATTTTAAAAATGTGTCATCCATTGTTCAAAAGCATTGGAAAATAATAGAAAATGACTTCAATTTGAAAAAAAAGTATTTTCCTCACCACCAGTCATGGCCTTCAGAAGACCTAAAAACATCCGTGACAAATTAGTGACAGCTGTATTAACATAGCAACCTACTCCACGACCCGGTTGCTACAAACAATGTGAGAGAAGGAATTGCTTATGTTGTAAAGCCGCCAATACTAGCAGTTATTTCATCAGCTCCTTTACAAAACAAAGTTATACCATCTACACAAATTCCAACTGTAAAACGGAAAACTCAATTTATGTATTAACATGTAACACCTGTGGAATTCAGTACGTGGGAGAAACAATGGACAAATTTAATATTCGGCTAAATAACCATCTATCATGGTATAAAACCAACAAAAACTGTCCCCTCACAAGACATCTTCGCTCAAAGAAACATCCTTTTGATAATGTTACTTTCCAAATCATAGAAGTGAACACTGAGTGGTACACCACGGCGAGAAGGAGAAGAGAAAACTTTTGGATCCACCAGCTCCATACTTTAGAACCTGATGGGCTTAATGAAAAAGACGAGAAAAGATACAGAAAAGATAAAGAATAATTAATTATACAACATCGTCCTTTATATTTCTGTAATATTGGCCAATGGACATTGCAAACTTCAACCACAAATTTTGTATTAAAAAAATAATCTTGAACTTGATCCAAATTTTGAATTATTTACAAGACAGCAAAATTCATGTACAATGAACAAAAAGTTTCTTATCTGCATCCGATTTTACCTGGATATAGATGCACGCTCAATGAAGCTAGTTTGTGTAGCGAAATATCGCGTTTATTTTTTATTGCATTGTAAATATTTTTAACATTTTAATATTTACATACGAAATAGTGTGTTAAAATAACATTGTTAGGCAATTTATAATTTCATTTGTGTAATTGTATTAATCTTTGTACTGATTACTCTACACTCAAATATATTTGTATGTTATGTGTTGCAATTTATAGGCATTTATATATGTTACAGGCATTTACTAAATTTAGGCATTTGTAAAATGACTGAATTTTTAGGCATTTTAGAGTTGATCGGCGTTTTATAAAAGGTCTAAAAATACCTAGACTTTTTTCTAAAATGCCTGAAATTTCTAATGAAAATTCAAAAAATGGCCTGTTCAGTTTCAGGCAAACTGTACAAATATGAAATACATGAAATAGATGATAAAAATATCTTGTAAATCAAAGAATATTGAGTAAAATAAAGATTATTCTTAAAAAAATGTAGCCTGCAGGTAAATTTTGAGGTTTTGATAGTTTTAATGTCTATTATAACTAGAACTCCGTATAGAAAAACTCCTTTGTTCTGTTTTTCAGATTTACAATGACAGAAGGGCACATTTTTCTTACAACAAAACAAAGATTTTTAAAAACCAATTAATTGAAAATGTTGATTCTAATCAGAAATGTGTAATATGGAACAGAGAAAAATATGAAACTATTTTGAACAAAATCAAGATTGGAATAAAAGAACATCCTTTGGATTATTGACATATGCAAAGGTAGGTGCATTTATGCTGTCTAGCTATAATGTTGTTTTCAAAACAAACATCAGTAAATAAAAAACATGAGGCTCCTAGTTGTCCGAATTGCTCACCTGGCAAAATATGCAAAATAAAAATCTGATGCACTCAAGGAATATTTTTAAGAAAAAGTCAAGTCAAATAAGGACAATATCACATATAATGAGTTAGTTGGATACTTCTGTAAGATCGAATCTCTTATTATTATGTTCCCGCAAAAACCGTTCTGAATATGCATGACATATTTGCCACTGGACGTTTAGCATGCAACAATTAATCGACGATGCATTGAGCTCCTGACTTGGGACAGGCACATAAAGAATGTTGCGGGATTAAACATGTTTTGAGCGCTCAATCCTCCCCTAAACTGGGACAGTGGTGTTACAGCACAACGTAAGAACAATATGCGCGAAGTCAGGAATCTAGTCAGTGCTTGTTTAACGTCGTTTCTCTAATTCTTCGTCAATTTATCCCTTTCTGCACACATTGTATAAAAAAAATTTAATCAACGTGTGGTTCGTTTGATCTCAGTTCTTCATTGGTTAAAATCCGATTATGACGTCGAATTTTCCTGCTTTCCTCTGAATTTCCTATTGTGACGGCATGCAAAAAGGCGACCATGCCTGATGACATCACACAGAAGGAACACATCTTTTTGCAGATCATTCAAAAAGAAGGAATAAGTTTGCCTGCATATTGTTTGAAAATCATTAGAGAAACAGATTCCACCACCAAATCTCGTATAATACGATATTTATCCACTCTCGACAGTTAAATTTTAAATATTTAAAACGCTCGGCGAGCCTCGCGTTTTAAATTTGAAAATTTAACTGTCTCGAGTGGATAAATATCGTATCACACTCGATGCAGTGGTAGAATCTATATTTTATAAATGCTTTTCGATATTTTGAGAAATTTAATGTTGATGGCAGTTCTTGTGTGTCTTAATGTTATAGAGGAAGGGCCAATGTCCCCTGAATTTATTTTAAACAAGGGAAATTTTCAAAAAGTCTTCCAATCGTTACTTAAATCCACAGCATCACAGATTCATGTGAGTAATTTGAAGTTCTTATAATATTTTAGCTGTTTCAAAACAGACCAACAAATTATAAAGCTTGAAGATAGACTAAAGCTGTTTTGAAAGATGTTTGTAAATTTTGAGCATTTATCCAAAAAAATGTATACGAAAGACTCTATAAATCAAAACAAAAACTAGGTGGGATATATATAAAGCTATTACATGTTTTTCGGTTACAAATTAGATATTTTTTGTTTTTCGACAACTTTCTTTGAACATTTTCCCTTGAAACATTCGTAATTGTGTTTCACTGAAATGCCTTCAATAACAATACATCAGGGTGAATAGTTTTGTCATTTTGAAAGAAATTAGAAAATTAGATGACAAAATGATTAAAGGACAGGCGGAAGATATCAAAGGGATATTCAAACTCATAAGTCATTGACATACTGACAAAATCATAGCCTAAGAAAAAAACGAACGAAAGACAAACAACAGTATAAAACACAACATAGAAAAACACGAACCTCACCAAAAAACGGATGGGGAGAGGGGGAGTCATTTGTTCCGAAAGGTAACAGATCTTTCTGCACTTGTGGCACCTGTCGTGTTGCTCATGTAAGTACAAACTAAGTGATAGGTCTCATTAGTTGATGTCACATACGAGTAAAGCGGACGGGATTATGGTTACGACAATTGGAACATATGCGTCGTCATCAAATTTTGTTGAACGGTCAACCAAGTCGTAATGGCGACCATACAATTTCCGAAGGGATGACTTAAACTTTTTCGTTTAATAGCTTCCTTGTAAGTAGCAACCCTCTGTAAAAAATCATGATAGAAAATGCAAGCTCAGAAATTGGGAGATATAAATTCTATATGCAGGCGCTACTGGACTGTTGCTACATAGAAATGAAAATTTTACAAGTTGAAATCATCTTCTTTCACGTAAAGATTTGTTCTCAACCGACACTCACTGCCAATCTCTAGATTTAAGTCACGATATGAGACAGAATTTACTGTATCTGTGAACGTCCATGACAAGTTTCTTTCATATTTACTTAGTGACAACTTTTGTATTTTGATCACGTGAGTGAAACAAATACAGAGGAAATTGTCCCTACTTCCTTACCAAAACTTGTATACACTCGGTATGATTTACAGCTTGATATGTTGTATTCTACAGAAATCTATATAAAAATAAGGAGATGTGGTATGATTGCCAATGAGACAAATATCCAACAAAGTTCAAAAGAAGTTAGATGTAAACAATTATAGGCAACCGTACTGCCTTAAACAATGAGAAAAACCCATACCGTATAGTTGGCTATAAAACGCCCCGACATGAAAAAATAAAAAACAATTCAATTGAGAAAACTAACGGCCTAATTTATAACACAACAATTTGCGAAAAACAAATATGACAGACATGAACCAATGACAACCACTGAACTACAGGCTCCTGACTTGGGACAGGCATATACAGATTGTGGCGGGGTTAAACTAGTTTGCTGGCGCAACACCCTCCTCCTAACCTGGGATAGTAGTGTAACAGTAAAACATAAGAACAAACTATAAAAATCAGTTGAAAAGGGCTAAACTCATTAGATCGTTACAAAGCAGAAAACATCTAACGAAAACACAGACAGCAACAGCAAAAACATGGATTGTGTATTTGATACATGGTTTATCACAGAGTGCTGTTAAATTGTATTTCTTTCATCTCATATCTTTCCCCCAATATACTAAATGAACTAACACAGTTGCATTGCACTGAATTTATTATTGCTCTCTAGTAAAAGGTCAGGTCTGTAGTGGACACACCTACAAAAGACAAAAACATTAATTATGAATTATAATCTATCCAATTCACTCGTATAACTGATGTGTAATTAATGCAGACACAAAGTAAGCATTGATAAACGTATATATTCAAATATATACAGCTAAATATTATTTTTGACGTCAGATATCCGTCAGACAAAATACAACTAAAGTCAAGCATAAAAAAAAAGCGAAAAGTAATTTTAAAATCTTAAGCACTGTATAATAATACGGCATTCGATAAAAACGTTCATAAGTAACTGAATTACCTGAAGTAAAATAATGTATAAATGTAATACAAAAATGCTAGAAGTACTATTTAAAAATAAAGCATTTTAAATTCTTTAAAATAAATAAAACTGATTTGAAAAGTTTGAGAGATGGAAAAATGTTAAAAATATTTTACAGTAAAAAAGATCCAAAAATGATCTTCGCAGGTAAAAAAAAACAACAACAAAGGTTAAGATAATTTGTAATTATAACGTATACTGAACAGATGGAAGATAGAAACACTTAAACAAAATGTAAACGAAAAACAAATAGTCTTTAAAGAATAATATAAAGCAGTACAAGTCCAAAATATTTAAGTTGGAAAGTTTCGATCGCTAAAAAATAACCAAGATCGTTATTATACAATGCTAGTCACTTCATTTCGGAAACATGATCAAGTCTTTTTTAACTGTGATGTTTTAGCGTTGTCCTTACCTACTGAGTAGAGATTTAAACTTAAACGAATTCTATATTACAAAAAGGATATGGAATTAACATAAGACATGTAAATTTGAGTGAAAACAGTAATAGTTGAATACATTTTTTTCTATTTTCGCACTTCTTTCATATATAATATAAATTTACCACTCTTTGCCACGCAATATTTTATAATACCCACCATGTTTTTGACCTAATGCTTACATAACTCATTTCTGCGAACATTCTACGTACATGAATGGACTCCCCTTATTCCATTTGCAGGTATATTACTAAACAAGTCTACTATATTGCTTCATATTTCTTGAACAATTTGCAAGTTTTCAACGGCGAATGTTATTCAAAAAGAAGATGTTTGTCGACTAAATGAGCAACAGTGGCTTACTGGTTGAAGGAATTAATAATCGTCTACAAGTTAACTTGTCTTATTTATGATATTTTCTTTTGTGTTAAGATTTTTATTCAACATCCAATACTTCAGTAGTTAAATTATATGTTCTTACTGCCAAACATATTAAGAGGAACGCATATTTAGATATTAACTTTACAATACTGGTACACAAATTCAGATAATTTGAAAATAATCAAAGCTTTTTAATGATGTATTAATTGTAATAAAGCAATATATTCTACCGGAAGGAATTGTCATTATTTTGTAAAGTCATAATAAGGTTTTTTTAATTTGATGAGGTTAAAAAAAACTATATATAGCATAACAATTGCAGATCAGCAATACATTGTAAAATATTTCATAAGCTTAAAAAAACACTTACTGGTTTTAACAAGATCCATGAACACAAGTCAAATACTTCTGATTCCATATGGTACCCTTGGCGCATGGCATTCGATGAGGCTTGCCCCATACACACTGAATAAATCCGGCACAGTTTTTAGGATCAGGATAGTATCCCCAAGTGGTTTTGCATGCAAATTCTGTAAGATAGAAATATTTTATATATCTTATATTGTAAAACTATAACATTTTCGAGTGTACTTATAATAACATTATGTATTTCTCTATTATGATACATTTTTTGTAGTTTGGCTAACAAACATTAATGCAAAATATGTTCCAATCAGATTCAAACAGATCGTTATTAAAATCCATTTAGTAATGCATCGAATTCAGATAAGAATGAACCCTGTAAGATTTTAGATATAAATGAGATTTAATTGTCCAATCATAAAGGATGACTCCTGAACTATTTGCATTTGAAATGAGTTCGCAGATTGTATGCATTACGCGTATTCATTTCCCGATATCAGAGCTGAAATGTATATCGTAGGCAAATGCTTGTAGACGAAGTCCAACCTCGAAACAACAGCTATTGGTCAATCATTTTTAATTTTGAAGGTCAATTGAAAATCACCTTGTCTTAGGATTCAGAGCTCTTTCAGTTCTTTCTTGCGACATATCAGTGCGCGGTTATAATCATAGAAACTCAATTGAACGGTTTAACTAATTGTTACGGTTACAACTCTATCTAGCAAAGTTGACCCTTACTAGATAGATTTTGTAAGATATCTTTTGGTCACATAGCTTCTCGCGTATTTAGATTTTTATGCATCCTTGGCTTTTAAATGTTTTGGTTTGGACGTTCCTGGTGAAGCTGGGAATCCAGAAAAAGTGCTTCGGACGCTCGAAATTCATTAAGTATTATTTTCCTTCAAAGTATTTTTCATTAATCAATATTACACTGAATGTAACAAACCAAACATAAAAAAATCGAGTAATCTTCATTAGGTACGCTTAAGATTAGTACTTTCGGAAAACAGAAAACATACGAAATATTTAGGAGAAAAAAATACGAGAACAGCTTTAAATTTTAAGAAGCCAAATAGAACTGAGATTACACAATAATATGTTGAAAGTTTGTGAGGTTAATGTCAAATTAAACATACAAATTACACGGAAACATTATATCTACCTGGCATACACGCAAACCTAACCTCTTGTTCTTTGTGCACACTGAAATAAAGGTGCTGTAACGAATCACGTATAGTAAATAATAAACTGGTTTCAGCACTTAAACGTGAAATATAAGAGGGAATTCAGTCAATTATTCAAATGGGGGCTAAGTAAGTTCGGTGTTTTGACCATTCATCTCTACTAAATCATCGACATGAATATACTTTAAATTTTTAAAGACATTTGTATTTGCCGGCACTTTATAAAAAGGACATACTTTATCACCTAACAGTTACCGACTTGTAAAAGAGATACAACAGAAATAAGAAGATGTGGTATGAGTGCCAATGAGACAACTCTCTATCCAAGTCACAATGTGTAAAATGTAAACAATTTACATGTTAATTTGTCGTCTATAATATAATAATTACAAATTCATTTTCGTTGTAAGCAACTTTTAACAGCTGAAACGAAGTAGGTCACCCAATCAATCATAAACGGAACATATATATTTTTAAATGAATATTTCAAGTACCTGAATAAGCTTTAGTTACACCTTCGATTTTTGTCTTTTTTGTCAATATATCACTCAGTCCTGGAGAAGTTTTTTCTGCAAATTTAATTCCTACACTTGTAATTTTGTCTTTCATTTCCACAGTTGTAACTTGATTTTCTGTTTGTTGCCAAGCATACGTTGTTGGTCGTGTCGAGTCAATCATTTCAGTAGCGACATCTAAAATGTTGCAAAATTTCATAGTAACCTAAATGAATCATAAACCTAATGTAATCCAAAACACAACGAAGGAAAATAAACAGCTACGCCATGAGCATGATACGCCCGTCGTTTTTTCAAAGAATAAATTTCAATAACTTCTCAATGTCATATCAGAAATTTATGAACAACTAAAAGGAGGTTATCTTAATAGATATAAACCAGTCACCAAAGTTTCATGAAAACTGCTGAAAGCACTTTAAAGACATTGTCTGAAAACTGGAAAATCACCCTTTTTTATGAATAAAATCCCATAACTCGGAAACGTAAAATCTAAAATTTATAAAAATCGAAAGGAAGCTTACGTCAATAGATATAAACAATTCACCAAAGTTTCATGAAAACTGCTGAAAGCATTTTTGAGTTATTGTCCGAAAACTGGAAAATCATCCTTTTTTAATGAATAAAACCCCATAACTCAGAAACGTAAAATCTAAAATTTATAAAAATTGAAAGGGAGCTCATGTCAACAGATATAAACAATTCATGAAAGTTTCTTGCAAATTGGTGAAAGTGTTTTTGAGTTATTGTCCGAAAACTGGAAAATCCCCCTTTTTTAATGAATAAAACCCCAGAACTCGGAAACTTAAAATCTAAAATTAATAAAAAACGAGAGTTAGCTCAAGTCAATATATATAAACAATTCACCAAAGTTTCATGCAAATTGGTTAAAGCGTTTTTGAATTATTGTCCGACATGTTGACGACGGACGGATAGACGGACGGACAACGGTATACCATAATACGTCCCGTAAACGGGCGTATAAAAACCCTTATAATCATAACTTTATTCATGGTAAAGTAATTTTGTAAATCGGCCATCAACACACTTACATTTGTTGCTTATAGTCCTTAGTTTTCTATGTAGTGTCTGTGGACTTGTTTGTCTTATTGTTGTTTGTTTTTCGCATTGGCGTTGTCAGTTTTCTTCAACTTATGAATTTTTGAATGTCCCCTTGGTATCTCTCGCCTCTTTTTACATAGATTGGAGTGAGAAGTTCAATATAATAGTTTGCCAACAAATAAGAGGTATATATAATTATAGAGAAGACATACAGACAGCTAGAGATTGGAATTGATTTCGATACATAAGCTATATATACTAACAAAAGCGGAAACTAGTTTTGCACATTGTTGAAGGCCGTATTGGTGACCTTATGTCACATACACCTAATTTTTGTGGTGTCTGGTTGATAGTTGTAGCATTGGCATTCATACCACATCTTCTAATTTGATGAAAATCATTATTGAAGTAAATAACTCTTACGAAGAGTCAACTGGTAATTTCAGTCATTTTGACTTACTAGTAGATCTTGAGTAACTAATCATTTTTTTTTGTTTGTTTAATGTTTCTCTAAATCATCAAATCGGCAATGCCATTAGAAAACCATCATCAATCCCAGTGGAAGCCTCTGCTAGTATTTTATCGGTTATTAAAGATGCTTGTGTCGGAACAGTATTTGATTCACTCGTCGTCTCATTTGAAAAAAAATGACTTTCTTTTATGTTTGAATTTTTGCAGTTAACATTTTTAACAAATTTTGTAGAGTCTATACCAAAAAGCAAGAAATTGTAAGAACGCATTATTGATTGGCAATTACTTCTATAAGGAGTCGACTGGTGATTTCGGTCATGATGACTCATTTGTAGATCTTGTCTAGCTGTCCAAACTTGCTATTTAATGTTTCTTTTTATCCACTATATTTTTCCGCAAAAACACAAAAAGGGGTAAACATCGTCATCCAAGATCCATAATTCTTACAGAGTCGTCTGACCAATTCGCCCATTCGACTTACTTATTTAAAATCTTTTGCTTAAGCCCATTGAATATATTTATTCATTTGATCAACTGTCAGCAAATTGTGTTTTTTTTCCATATCAATATATTGGTAGATTCTCCGGAAAAACGCGTAATTTTATTTGAAAAAAAAGCTGAAAAAAAGAAGATCAAATATCATCCTGAATATGCATAATTTACCTTCATGGTTTTCTGTTGTGTTTCCACGGGATAATTCTTTATCAATGGGATTAATATCATTTGTAGTGGTAGCCTCTGTTAGTATTTCGTCTGTTAAAGATGACTGTGTTGGAACAGTATTTGATCGACTCGTCGTATCAGCTATAGCATTTTGACTTTTGTTTATGTTTGAAGGCTTTGCAGTGGTAATTTCTGTTTCCAAAACAGTAGCGTGCTCGGTATCTAAAGCGTTTAGAGTGGTAACGAGTAAATCTGCATTCATTGCACTTGTAGAAGCTTGCAAACTATCATCTTTTGAAGTCGGTACACTCTCCAAATTTTTGTCTTTTTCTGTAACCGTTTCATTAGAACTTGGTGTTGTTATGTATGATTGACTCGTCGTATCATCTATAACATTTTGACTTTTGTTTATGTTTGAAGGCTTTGCAGTGGTAATTTCTGTATCCAAAACAGTAGCGTGCTCGGTATCTAAAGCGTTTGGAGTGGTATCGAGTAAATCTGCATCCATTGCACTTGTAGAAGCTTGCAAACTATCATCTTTTGAAGTCGGTACACTCTCCAAATTTTTGTCTTTTTCTGTAACCGTTTCATTAGAACTTGGCGTGGTTACGTATGATCGACTCGTCGTATCAGCTACAACATTTTGACTTTTGTTTATGTTTGAAGGCTTTGCAGTGGTAATTTCTGTATCCAAAACAGTAGCGTGCTCGGTATCTAAAGCGTTTGGAGTGGTATCGAGTAAATCTTCATCCATTGCACTTGTAGAAGCTTGCAAAGTATCCTCTTTTGAAGTCGGTACACTCTCCAAATTTTTGTCTTTTTCTGTAACCGTTTCATTAGAACTTGGTGTGGTTACGTATGATCGACTCGTCGTATCAGCTACAACATTTTGACTTTTGTTTGTGTTTGAAGGATTTGCAGTGGTAGTTTCTGTTTCCAAAACAGTAACGTGATCGGTATCTAAAGCGTTTGGAGTGGTAACAAGTAAATCTTCATCCATTGCACTTGTAGAAGCTTGCAAACTATCATCTTCTGAAGTCGGTACAATATCCACATTTTTGTCTTTTTCTGTCACCGTTTCATTAGAACTTGGTGTTGTTATGTATGATTGACTCGTCGTATCAGCTATAACATTTTGACTTTTGTTTATGTTTGAAGGCTTTGCAGTGGTAATTTTTGTTTCCAAAACAGTAGCGTGCTCGCTATCTAAAGCGTTTGGAGTGGTATCGAGTAAATCTGCATCCATTGCACTTGTAGAAGCTTGCAAAGTATCATCTTTTGAAGTCGGTACACTCTCCAAATTTTTGTCTTTTTCTGTAACCGTTTCATTAGAACTTGGTGTGGTTACGTATGATCGACTCGTCGTATCAGCTACAACATTTTGACTTTTGTTTGTGTTTGAAGGATTTGCAGTGGTAGTTTCTGTTTCCAAAACAGTAACGTGATCGGTATCTAAAGCGTTTGAAGTGGTAACAAGTAAATCTTCATCCATTGCACTTGTAGAAGCTTGCAAACTATCATCTTCTGAAGTCGGTACAATATCCACATTTTTGTCTTTTTCTGTCACCGTTTCATTAGAACTTGGTGTTGTTATGTATGATTGACTCGTCGTATCAGCTATAACATTTTGACTTTTGTTTATGTTTGAAGGCTTTGCAGTGGTAATTTCTGTTTCCCTAACAGTAGCGTGCTCGGTATCTATAGCGTTTGGAGTGGTAACGAGTAAATCTGCATCCATTGCCCTTGTAGAAGCTTGCAAAGTATCATCTTTTGAAGTCGGTACAATATCCAAATTTTTGTCTTTTTCTGTCACCGTTTCATTAGAATTTGGTGTTGTTATGTATGATTGACTCGTCGTATCAGCTATAACATTTTGACTTTTGTTAATGTTTGAAGGCTTTGCAGTGGTAATTTTTGTTTCCAAAACAGTAGCGTGCTCGGTATCTAAAGCGTTTGGAGTGGTAACAAGTAAATCTGCATCCATTGCACTTGTAGAAGCTTGCAAAGTATCATCTTTTGAAGTCGGTACACTCTCCAAATTTTTGTCTTTTTCTGTCACCGTTTCATTAGAACTTGGTGTTGTTATGTATGATTGACTCGTCGTATCAGCTATAACATTTTGACTTTTGTTTATGTTTGAAGGCTTTGCAGTGGTAATTTCTGTTTCCAAAACAGTAGCGTGCTCGGTATCTAAAGCGTTTGGAGTGGTAACGAGTAAATCTGCATCCATTGCACTTGTAGAAGCTTGCAAACTATCATCTTTTGAAGTCGGTACAGTATCCAAAGTTTTGTCTTTTTCTGTCACCGTTTCATTAGAACTTGGTGTTGTTATGTATGATTGACTCGTCGTATCAGCTATAACATTTTGACTTTTGTTTATGTTTGAAGGCTTTGATGTTGTAATTTTTGTTTCCAAAACAGTAGCGTGCTCGGTATCTAAATCTGCATCCATTGCATTTGTAGAAGCTTCTTCCATAACACTTGGTAAGGTGGTTGTATTCAAAAATGATTTTGTTTCTGGTATATCGCTATGACTACTGTCTTCCTGTAGGATTCTTTCTGTTGTCATCTCTTCTGAAACTGTGGTCGATGACATCAACGCATTATGTTTTGAAATTGTTACTGATTCCGTCTTGCTTTCCGATGCAGATACTATAAAACATGGAAACTTCATTCAAAAATAGAAAACAAAATAGTATTACTGATTCTGAAAAAGTTATTTAAAAGTATACAAACAAATAATTATTGAAACCGATACCGCATGTGTATATAGACACGCCAAAGCTGTACTAACATCTGATTAGATCAAAACGTTTATATTACAAATTGAAATCACAGTGTACTTTTTCACGCTTTTGATCGACTTGTCATATCGCCTATACAATCTGCAAATTATTGGAAAGACAAATTTGTAGGTAATGAGCAGGAATGTACACACCAGACAAGTAGAACTGATGATATGCAATTTTTTATAGATATAAGAAAATGTGGTATGAGTGCCAATGAGACAACTTTCCATCCAAGTCAAAATTTATAAAAGTAAACCATTATAGGTCAAAGTACGGTCTTCAACACGGAGCCTTGGCTCACACCAACAAGTAAGCTATAAAGGGCCCCAAAAATTACTAGTGTCAAACCATTCAAACGGGAAAACTAACGGTCATATCTATATAAAAAAAACGAGAAACGAGAAACACTTATGAACCACATCAACAAACGACAACTACTGAACATCAGATTCCTAACTTAGGACAGGTGCAAACAAATGCAGCGGGTTTAAACGTTTTAATGGTACCAAACCTTCACCTTTTTTCTAAAACAATAGTGTAACATCACAACATAGAAAGACACACTATAAAATATCAACTGAAATAGCTTAACTCAATCAAAGGCCATATTAACACCAGTGAACATACACTGAACAAATAAATTTGACATTTGATACAATGTAAATACAAAATAAATAAACTAAGGGAAGAATAATAAAAGTAACATGTTATATCGGTATGCAATGTTTAACAATTTTAGAAAAACAATATGCTCGAACAAAAATATCATCCATTTGCAATTACTTTAAACACAGGTAAATGAAAATAATTTTGTTGTTAGGTATATGTGTACAGTTCCAATAGAGAAAGGAAATATTTTTACAAAATAAATAATTTTGATGTTCATAGTACGAAGTGAAAATTTATAGTAATACCAAACACTTATCAAAGCTGTTATATAGACCAGATATAACCCTGAATAACATTAAATAACAAGAAAGCATTACAATTAATTAGTATCAACAGGTCAAATAAACAAGAAAGTACGATCTGAGAGTATTCGCAGTTACTGACAGCTAGTTAAAAGCCAAAACAATTAATAATGAAAAAAATCATGCATCAGAGACTAAAATCAACTAAAACACATCCCAGGGATTTAGTATTTTAACGTCATGGACAGTCAAAGAAGACATGACTTGTGCAATGCCAAAAATAAATGTATCGACAGACAGTAGGATAGTTTAACCTCTTTATAGATCAAAATAAACGTGGGTGTGTCTTTATACATCCCGTTTGTAAAGAATACAAATTTAGTAATGTTTTAATTTGCTGATGACAAAATCGATATAAGTGCCAATGAAAACTATATTCAAAGATCTAATTACAACATTGGTAAGATAACCTTTACTTATAAGTTTGTTTAAAGGTTCGATGAGTTTACTGGGATCACATAGTGATTTCCGCGCTTTAAGTACAATATTACCGTAAAATTTAAGATGTGAAATACCGTTTTTAATCAGTTTTCTACAAGTACAGCCAAATTTACTAATAAAATCTTTGTATCTATGAAAGAACTTAGCAAACGTTTTACTTAATTTATGGTAACGAAATCCCTGACTTAATAATTTACCAGTGATGCATTGATTACGTTCGTTAAAATCTATGACATCACTACACACACGGGCATAACGAACGAGTTGGGATATATAAACACCGTACAATGGAGTCAAAGGAACATCGCCGTTTAAAAAAGGAAAATTAACAATAGGGAATGAAAAATCGTCTCTTTTGTCGTTTATACCTATTTTTTAAACCAAAAACTTAGTAATTTAATGTGTTACCAATAAAGTGCATCAAAACTAGTTGAAAAAGAACAGAAGTTCTACTTACAACTGCAACCACATTAGAAGCCGGATATTATAACACCTCCGGCTGACCTGAGATCAGCCTTGGTTTAAGTAGGACTCATGTTGCTTAAGATTAATGTTTTCATGTAGTCTTTTGAAGAAGGGTGTTTGTCCTTCGCCGTTTATTCGGTTTTGTTTGCCATGATTTTGTCGGTCTCTCTTCGACTGATGTGTTTTGATCATCCCCCCTTGTTCCTATTGTATTACCTTTAAGTTGCTGAATTTCAAAGCGCATTAATAATGATAGTAAAACGTAATCAATTGTATCGTCTGTAAAACCGTATAGCGGGTTTTTTTTGCGGGTTTAAAATTTCGTGATTTAGGGGCAACAAAGTATACGGAAAATTTTGGCGGTTTTTATTTTGGCAAATACTTGATTCCCAATTAAATATTTTGGCGGATACTGAAATGGTTGCAGTTAAAAGCTGTAAAAAATATTTAGGGAGGAAGAAATTCTCCTATAAACGAATCAAATTGCGAGCAAGTATCTTTATTGTCATTCAATCAAACAAGTGTCTATTATTATGGTTAAATTATATTTTTACCTGATTGATATATTATTAATTGATTATTTTCTGATAAGTTAATCAATAGGAGGCCGACAACTTAGATATTTGTCACAGGTGTACAAACTTCTTCTTTATGTTTCGTTTGATTAATTCCTAAATTGACTGGACCTTTGATATACTAATCAGGTTATAAAATTATCAAGAGTGACTTACAACTCTTATATAATTTGTCACTAATTAATAAGGGTGAAATACCTGGCAGAGTCTTATTCTCTTATATTAATTGATACTTATTGATAATTATGTATTTACAATGCGCTTTTGCATTTATGTTGTAAAAATATATATATACCTTTATTGACTTGGCGACCGGAAAAAAAATTTCGCGGAATTTATTTTCGAAATTTTCATTTATCCGCCAAAATAAGCCAAAATAAACACCCTGCGAGAATAACCCGCTATACAGTACTATGTTTTATCTTTAGATTAATATTGATTTCTTTTATCAAAACAAATCACGTTAGAAGATATTCGGAAGATATTTTTCATAACCCTACAAGGAAAATAAGTATACTTTTCAGTGATTTCTCTGAATTAATTATACAGCAATACCTCCTTCGATTTTACTTTGTTACTTACCATTGTATGTTTTGCAGTAGTATTTCCCAAAGTAATTTTTTTCGCAATTACCCGGACTTTGACATTTCTTTGAAGCTGGAACATTTACCAATTCAAAGTTACCACTGACATTATCACATCTCTGAGAGTCAATACAGTCTCCTTTAGGGTATGTATCGCCCAACTGTAAAACATTATTGTTTATTTTTTAATTTATTTAAGTACAAACTAAAGGCTCCTAAGAGCTTGCACTTTTCCCTGTCATTTTTGCATAAAATTGATACAGGGCAATATAGATTATTTAAAAAAAAAAATGGTAAAAAATCGTCTTTCAGATGAAGTGACTCCTATTCAGAATCGACTGACGATTTGGTCATGTTGAATTATTTGAAGACCTTGAATTGTTTATTATTTTTTGTTGTTAACAGTGCCTTTCTGTCTGAGGGAGATGAACAAAACACAAAAAATGATAAAATCTTCACCAGAGTTCACAAATCAGGATAAGGAGTCGACTGACTATTTCTATTACTTGACGTATTCGTAAATCTTGTCTAACTGATCATATTTATCATTTACAGTTTCTCTGTATCTATCTTAGTTTTCTTGAAAACAGCCAAATACGCAAAAATTTGTAATCAAATCATTAATTAAGGGCATTAACTTCTAAAAGGAGTCTTCTGACAGTTTTGGTTGAAATGGATAATAAGCAAATTCTGATATTTTGAATATTTCTGCCCGGTGTGATTTTCTGTGTGTGAAACGGGTTAACAAGATAATAGACAATACTGGCACTCGTATGTTTATGTTTTTAGCATGAGCGGCCATGTTAGGTGGAATCATCAGACATTTTTTTTAAACAGGATAACAAAAGGATGATTGTGGTCAAGTTTTAATTCAACTAACTCAGCAGTTACAGAGGAAAATGTTTTGTTTGTAAAAGTTAACGGACGACGTTGAATGGTAAGGAAAGCTTACACGGCCTTTGGTCCAGGTGAAAAAAATATGTGTGTAATGACAATATCGTAGCAAAAGACAAAACATTGAAAGATAACCACCAGTCGTCAAAACACTTTACTCGGACAACTTAAGATTAAGCAACACGAGCCCTTAAAAAATGGGAATGAAGTCAGGTGCTCTGTAAGGGTAAACAGTTACTGCTCAGAAGCAACCACCGTGTTCATCCGTGGAATAGAAAAGATATTGTTGTGATAACATAAGCATTACCAATTTTCCTGCAATTCGATAATAAAAGTCTCTTCAGTGATGCTCGAGGCCAAATCAGGACTAGGAACCAGAGTTTTGCATGAGGAAGATATATTCCTTAATTAAAAGTAATTTCTAAAATTTTATAGCAGCAAATATCAATCAAACAATATCCGTAATTTCATGCCGGTACCGAAGTACTGGCTATTAGGTTGGTGATACCCTCAAGGACTAACAGTCTACCAGCAGAGGTACCGACCCCGTCGTATTAATAACATAAACAGTATCAATTTTGCTGCACCAGATTCGCAATTTGAAAATGAATGTCTCTTCAGTGATGCTCGAGGTCAAAATATTTTCAAATCCAAAATCTGGTACAAACACTGAAGTGCCGATCAAATCAAAGAGGACACGAAGAAGAGCCAAATTCGGACTAGGAATCAGAGCTTTGCATAGGCGAGGATAATTAGACGGAACTCAAATACACATAAAAATTTAAAAAAAGATTTACAGGTCAGCATACAGTTTTCAAAAATAGTCAAGTGTTTAAACTGTAATTCAAGCCCTAAATTTTCCCAAATCCAGATAAAATATGCAAAACTTTAACAGAAACTACCAATTTGTTTCTAATCAACACCAAATATTCTCGAAAGTTATCAAATACTATGATATAACAAAAGACAACAAGTAATGATACTTCTGTAACAAGTGATGGTGTCAAATTAGTCAAACTTATATCGACCGATGTAATTAGTAGATTTCATATAGTGAAAACAGTGGTGTCAAGTGATGTCCAAAAATAATCTTGTGAACAAGAAACTGATAAAAATAGATTTATTCCAAACTGAACCTGTGTAAATCGATGCCAATTTGAAAAGGACACGTACCAACTGTCCACAACCACATCGTACTTAAAACCTTTATCAACACTTTTGTTTTTTTCTACTTTTTCATTCATCTTTGCCAAGATAAGCCTTTTTTCAGAGACAGATTTTACATTATAATTTAGAATTATTGCACACTTATTTGTTACACAGTCATTTCTCAGAACATACTGTTAGTGGTGTTTGCCTTTGCGACTACACTAATTAATCTTTGTCGTCGAATATATTTCGAATGCTAAATATTTCCTCCATACCCGAAGTTTTCGGCACACAATTTCACTTCTTAATGATAACTAATACTAGTAGCAAAAAATGCAATAAATAAAAAATTAAACTGAAATAGATGTGATGAAGAATTTCTATAAAAAGCATAACATTGACCTACCGACAGACTTTTTAATATACTTCTACCATCGAGGTTACAAAAGCCGCATTTGTCCTCCATTACACACTGGTCACCACTAAGGTATGTATTCTTTGGACACGCACATCCATCTGTTGGCGGATCAAGACAATTCTTTTCGGCATTTTTATTACTACATGTGTTAATGCATGAAACAGATGTTCTATAAACCATGCCATCTTTACACGTGAGTGCTACGAAAAAAATCGATGATAAATATTTTCAAAACGTTTTGGCATTTAATAGGCGGAAGTAACTGTCGAAAGTTAAACAGAAAGGCTGTATTAATTTCAACGACAATAACAAAATATTAAAAAATAAAAGAATAAAGTTATTTATAGTTTTTATATATATATAAATCAATGCCATTAATGAAACCGTAAAAGTGTTAAAGTATAGTCATTCCTAGTGTCTGGATATGTGTTTCCTTTGGAGTAATTCAAGTCTCACTACTACAAACAGCTAAGACACACTTACGAAAAAAAGCTTCATTCTAGAATTGTAATATTCTACATGTGTTAAAAATTCACGAAAACCAGTAAAGGAAAGTTTTTGGTATCATTTGTTGTAGAAATTGTTCAACAACTCAGAAACAACATTTTTTTTAAATAGTAATAATTTAATTTCTCAATCTTTTTCTTAGATTTAAAGTTGAGAAAAATAAGTTTTATAGCAAATTAAACTTATTGCATGACTTACGAATTCAAATATTTACGATGGTATTCCAAATTAAATAAAGGGATGCAGTATACAGCGATCATTTTCATTTTCAGGGCAATTATTATTATACAATATTTAAAGTTTTGGAATGCCATTCGAATTTATTCATTCACGACATTATTGAGTTTGCACTTACGACAAAAATTTCCTGTTCTCCAGTTCACCAAAACCCCTCTCTGACTGCAAGCTAAAGCAGCAGCTTCCAATGTTTGACAACTTGCATTTTCCGAATTTGACACAATGACATCATACTCACAGCTTGAGTATAGTTTGGTAAAATTAAGGGATGAAGACTCTCGACAAATCTTAAATGGACTGTTGTCATTTGTTGGTGATAAATATCCACACTTATCATCCTGTTCTGAAAGTTTCTTGTCCTCTTCCGTTATATTTTTCAAAGGTTCCGCATCAGCACATCTGCAATATATAATATCAATTAATGTCATGAATAGGTCAATATTTGAATAATATGTAAAACCTATGTTGAGTTACACATGAACACTACCAAAATGTCAACTGGAAATCGCTTAATACAATTAGATTTATTTATTGCATATTCAATGTGTGCAATGAATATACAACTGCAGATTTGTTTTGTTTCATTCCTTCGCAAGAATAATATAAACAACAAACAAACAATTGAAATTTGAAATTTGGCTGATTATTTGTCATGGCATTTATTCAACAATATAAACCAACAAACAACCAACATCAACAAACTGGCCAACAAGTTAAAACTTGATGACAATTGGTCACTGAAGGGAAACCAACAGTAAATGCATAACAATTTCTAGCTGCTGGGCAGATCCATAACAGCTTAATGAACGATATTTGAATAAATCACTGCCAGTTGAATCTTGTTGATGATGACATCCAACGCACTTTCCATATTGAACGGAATGCCATGACGATAGATATTCTCTTTTTAATTATTCCTGCAAATTCCTTGAATATTCAGGTTTCATTGGATCTGCCGATGAATATTGAAACGTCTGACAATTTTGATGATACATGACAATCTAATTGGAACATTCAATACATTTGGATCTGTTCACCATGTAATCTGAAAAATAAACTAAAAACAGCAGCAATTTTGTTTGTTAAAGGGAGGGAGGGTGGGTTGTGTAATCTTGTTGAAAAATACTCGTGGAATGAACATTTAGCGGGAACACGTGTTTATATATGACCAAAGTCCACGAGGCGCTTCAAAGCATATTCTTTCGTATGTTTAAATATATGGTTGTAAGTATTTAAATGGCAAAACGTAAATAATGGACTGACGTACATTTGAAACACAATAAACAAATAAATGTATTGTTAATGCAATAAATCAATTTAATTATTAGATCATTAAATTTTATTATTGCATATTCAATGTGTGCAATGAATATACAACTGCAGATTTGTTTTGTTTCATTCCTTCGCAAGAATAATATAAACAACAAACAAACAATTGAAATTTGAAATTTGGCTGATTATTTGTCATGGCATTTATTCAACAATATTCAACAATATAAACCAACAAACAACCAACATCAACAAACTGGCCAACAAGTTAAAACTTGATGACAATTGGTCACTGAAGGGAAACCAACAGTAAATGCATAACAATTTCTAGCTGCTGGGCAGATCCATAACAGCTTAATGAACGATATTTGAATAAATCACTGCCAAAATTGGCATTTTAGTGAACTCTCAATCAAATGCTAATCCGCCATGACAATTTAATAAGCAGCATAAATTCAATGAAAATATAATCAAATAGTTGTTATTCTTTTCAACATACAACAAAAATAAACAAACAACATCATTCATGCATCGGATAAACAGAATTATTTGGTATATAGTAAAATTGTTCTAAAGCAGTTTGAAATGAATTCAAAAATATATCATTGCCAATAAACGACAAATGGACGCCATCATGACTAAATAAAGATTGATGTTTGTCTTCAAAATCAGAATGAGTTATAGTGTAACCCCCAGTTTTATTTAAATGTGATTTAACCCCCCTATTTAAACGTTTCCTGGTTGCATCCATTGCTTTCAAATCTTTTGAATATCTCCATTTCAACCTTGGTAAAATGCTTGAAAAAATAATTTTACCTCCATTCACCATACGTGCAACTATATCTAGCATAAATTTAATATCAAATAAAAGTTTGGCACAGTTAACAAGTCCAATATCATTGCCACCACAGTGAAGCAAAACAGCATCTGGTAAACCGCAACAATGTATCAAATTCTCTACTATTGGTACAACGTTATATACTGACATACCGGACATTCCTGCCCACATCAACTTGTAGCCTAACTTATGCAACCCCAAATCATTTCCCAAAGGTCTTATTTGACTATGTGATGAGGCTTTGGCAACCAAGGAAGATCCAATAATCCAAACCACAAAAATGCCTGAAAACAATTAAAATTATTTAATTTACCAAACGACTTAGCCTTATATATGATTTAAAAGAATTAGAATTCCATCTCCCCAGGGTTTGTATTTCTTCATCCGTTTTGCCTTCCAAGGCTGCAGTAGTTGCAGCCCCTATTCGGAATGAATGCGTATTAAACTCCTCAGGATTCAAACTAATAAAATTCAAAGCAGACCTTAAAACAGCTAAAAACTGAAAACGAGTCAATTTATTGTGATTAATATGACAAAAAAGTTGGCCTTGAGAATCTGGACGTAACTGTAAGTAATCTTTTAACATTTTGACAACATACAGTTCGTTATCATTATCATTTGAAGACAATATTAAAGTTGTTGAACAACCAATTTGATCCGTCTTTGAAGACATTATAGTAACAAAAACTTCAGAATCAATATCATTAAATTTAATATCTGATATTTTTAAAACATGATTATCAGCATTTTTGTTAACATATGTGATTTCTCCAATTCTCATAAATCCAAAAAAGGCTAAAGCAAATGCTGCCCTAAACAGTTTTGTCTCATAAATTGACTTACAAACATGGTGAAGAATTAATATAAGCCGTTTCAATACATCAACAGTAATAGGTTTTCTTGAATCAACTCTTTTACCCAAACGCTGCATACCTTTTAACATTTTTTCCAAAATGAATGATTTGCTATAATCATTCCAATTATTCATTTTCAACTTATGATTAATTCCTGATAGATATGTTTTTGCAGTGGTGTAGGAATAACCATTTTTTGAAAGATATGCAACGTAATTAATTATGTGATCAACAGGCGGTGGCCAACTTTCCTCTATTTGAAAACTGGTCCGAAATTTATTAAATGAACAGATTGCATTTTTATACACATTCGTTGTATTTGAAGAAACAGAGTGCTGTAAAAGTTTATTCACTTCGTCTTTAAAAGGTTCCAGAACTCCACTGGAATTGGATGTGGACGATCGTTGGCTAGTGGTGCTAGACGTCGAAATTTCTGAAAATTTGCACGAGATAATGCATCAGCAATTGCATTTTCCTTTGACAAAATGTGAACAGCTTTAAACTGAAAATTACCAATAAGTGAACAGTAAACAATTAATCTCAAAATGGACATAACTCGTTCAGATTTGCTTGACTTTTTGTTTAAAATATTCACTACTGCCAAATTATCAATGTGAAAAAGTATGTTTTTCTTGTAAAATTGATCAAACCACAAAAATATTGCAAGTGCTATTGGAATGATTTCAAGGTATGTTATATCTTTAAATATTTCTGAACTATTCCATTCTTTAGGCCACTCGAGAAAAGTCCATTTACCATTAAGATAAGCTGCACACCCTTTACCTAATCCACCAGCACTATCTGTATATAGTTCAAGATCAAAATTTGATATCCATCCTATATCATTTATATACGAAATCCCATTAAACTGTTCCAAAAATAATTTCCACATTAATAAATCATTTTTCATGCCTGATGTCACCCTAATAAAGTGAAACGGTTTTGAAACTTTGCCCATGGTTGAATACAAACGACAACTAAACGCTCTTCCAGCAGGTAGAGCCTTTGTGCAGAAAGCTAATGAACCACATATTGACTGCAATTCTTTTAACGTTACTTTTTTCATGGCTGACAACTTAATAATTCTGTCTAAAAGTTCTTCAACCTTTTTATGTGGAATTTTAACAAGCATATTTACCGTATCAATTGTAAGACCCAGATATTCAATCAGTGTAGTTGGACCTTCAGTTTTTTCATTTGCAAGTGGGACTCCTAAATTTTTGCAAATTTCATCATACTGAAACATCAGTTGTTCACATTCATCAGAATCTGATTTGCCACCAAATAAAAAATCATCCAAATAGTGGTCTATATTATTTGAACCAGACTTGCTTTTTAAAACCCAATGCAAAAAGGTTGAAAACTTTTCGAAAATAGCACATGAAATTGAGCAGCCCATTGCCATTGCCTTGTCTATGTAGTATTCATCTTCAATTTTAAAACCAAGTAAATCAAAATCTCCCTGATAAACCGGAAGTAATCTAAATGCTGACTTAATGTCCATTTTGGCTAATTTAGCACCTCTTCCAAGTTTCTTAACCATATTAACAGCATTATCAAATGAAGAATATTTAACCGAGGTAAACCTTTCATCAATGAAATCGTTAACACTGCTCAATGGCGGATATGATAAATGGGTAATTAGACGAAGTCCCCCAGTTTTTTTAGGAACTAACCCAATAGGAGAACATCTAAGATTAGATATTGGTCGTTTACAAAAAGGACCTGCTATTCTTCCTAATGATATTTCAGATTCAATCTTAAATCTAGCTCCAACAGGATTTGACAAAACAGATTTTAAATTTTTTGATTCAAATGGAAATCTTGGTCCATGATAATTCAAACTAAATCCAAATTTAAAACCATTAAACAAAATTTGTTTGTCCTGTTCATTAGGATAATCTGTTAAAAATAACTGTAATTGTTTAATATTAATAGGTGAATGTCCCATCTTCCAAATATCATATCTATCCTTTGAAAAATCTGAAAGAAAGGTTAATTTCAATTCATTTGATTAAATCTAGGTACTGAATACCTTGTGTTAAATGGTGGCCTATATCTATTTTGTTGAACAAATGAAGGCCTGTTTTGTCGAAACTGGTATGACATTTGAGGTCTATTTTGGTTAAACATTGGCGGCCTCAATGATCCATAATGAAAACCTTGGTTACCTTGTAACCTGTCAAATCTAACACATGATAAGGCTGGATGTTGTAATGAACATTTCATACAGTTATGTCTATAAAAACACTGAGATTTCTGACAAAATCCTTTAAAGTTAAAATCATAACAAGGTTTTTGTAAGTTAGCCTGATAGACTACAGGATTAGGTGTGCCTTGCGATCCCTTTGCAATGAATTTCAACCAAAGAAAGCCATCAATCTCAGACCAAGACTTGGAGTGATTTAGTGATACACGTAATCTAAATTGTCTATCATACTGGTAAACTCTGTCAAAAGGAGCATCTGATATAGCATCTCTTATGATTGACATGTATGTAAACAAGTCTTGTGCTAAGCTAGCATGCTTTTGAAGAAGTATTTTAGAAAAATTTGCAAAAGCTTCAGTCCATAATTCAATGTTATTTATAGTATTGACCTTTGAAGGTTTATTGGAAATGACAAGCATTCCATTTTCAACAGTAACACTTTGTTTCTGGTCCACATTGCTATAATATTGACTATTTTGTTTGAGTAGAATACCAAAATCAACATATTCAAAATTCCAAATTTTTTCTTTTATTTGTTGAGAAACAATTATATCAATTTCATTAGCACATGGCATTAACAAGTGACCAGTATTATTTAAAGTATTACCCGGTCCAGCCTGAACTGCTGTAGTTTTCAGCTGTTTCTGAGGTGGAGGCTGATTATTGGGCTCCACAGGTTGATCTGCTTGCTGATGCTCTGGCGCAACACGCCTTCTATTTCCACGTCTACCTCTGTTGACCACTTGGACAACTTCCTCAGGGACGGGTTCCTCTTCGGGTGCAGGTTCTTCATGAGCAGGTTGTTGAACCCTAACGTCGTTTACCCTGGGCCGTAATCTCCGACGATATTCATTCCTTCTCCTAGGCATTTTATAAATGAAATCAATATTAGTATAATGTTTATAAATATATAAAGATGTTCTAATTTATAAAACATTACATTGATGCTTCGACTGCATATAGATAAAATCGTGAATTTAACAACTGTTCCGTACTTGAAATATATATACAAATATAAATGTGTATATAAGTACGCATCTTAAGACAGCTAGAAGTGTATAATAACCCGCAGTTGTAAATGCAATATATTTGTAATAATTGGGCGTTCCATAACTTGATAACAGGTATAATATAAGTGTCAATTTATTATATCAAATTTAAAGACGGCTATATACATGTATGTATAATAATATCCAGCAAACTGAACAGCAGTTGATTTTTTAATTAAATAAATGCCGTTACATTTGTAATAATCGGGCGTTCCGTAACTTGAATAACCGGTATAATGTAAGTGTGAATTTAAATCAATACAGGTAGATAAAGTACGCGAATTAAAATAACTAAGCGTATAATCGTAAGCAAGCCTACACATGCATTTCATAGCTAATTAAATGAGAATATTCAATGCTACAATGGTAAATTAAAAACAAAAACTTACCGATAAAATTACCATGTTTAAGAACTGTGAATTAAATGCAACAACCAGAAGTCAATGAAATTAAACGGTAATAAATAAGCATATATTTAAATGTAATATTGAATTGACAAAAAACAATTCATGTATTTAATTGTGAAAGTAAAGGGAAACAAAATTACGACCCCGTGCAAACACGTGTTAAATTAAAAGTTACCTGTTTTACTTTATCGTTACAGGAAAAAAATGTGCTCTTTAAATGAAAACCAAATTATTAAAGTGAATTAAAATGCATAAAAGTAAACGTATTTAAAGTATAATGAATAAACTAAATCAACTTATCTTATTAACGCTCTGGTCCTATCCTTGTGTAATCTTGTTGAAAAATACTCGTGGAATGAAAATTTAGCGGGAACACGTGTTTATATATGACCAAAGTCCACGAGGCGCTTCAAAGCATATTCTTTCGTATGTTTAAATATATGGTTGTAAGTATTTAAATGGCAAAACGTAAATAATGGACTGACGTACATTTGAAACACAATAAACAAATAAATGTATTGTTAATGCAATAAATCAATTTAATTATTAGATCATTAAATTTTATTAATTTCGTTGAATTAAACGTTGTAATAAACGAGACAGTTTTAATGAGCTGTTAATCTTATTTCTCTGAAGGTTTACATTCTTTTTGTGTTAAATAGAAAATTTCGCGACTTCTTTGTCCTTGACATTTTAAACTTTTTACACGCTTCAGAATGAAATATGAATTAACAAAAGATGACTTTCAAGTGAAAAGTGTGAGTGTTTTGTATATCACTGAAGAAATCGCATATCTTCGCTGCCATGTAGGAATTTACATCCTTTTGACCTTTGAAAATAATCAGACCTAACGAATAAACAATGGACATTTCACATATAGATAAGCCAATGAAATACGCATTTTTCGTTTCACTTATTAGTATTACACTGCAGTGTGATACGAGAAATATCCCTTATATCAAGAAATAGATAATAGGCCACAGCCATATAAGAAAAAAACTTTTTAACTTATGGTTCAATTTTTGATTTTGTTCCAAATTATCATTTTTCTATGAAATGCTTAATTGTGAATCAGTAAAGAATAATTGTATAATATAGCTGTTTCTAATTTGAATGTTCAAATGAAAGATCTTGATTGAATGGAAATAAAATAAAAAAGCAACTATGCCGTCTTCACAAAAACTTGAAACACTTATAACATTATACTAACTTGACGTTTGGCTGGTCGGAATCATCAAGTATTTTATAACTGTTTCCAATATCAGCATGTCCATTTCTGCCTAGGGAATGAACATTTGTTCCATTCTTTGTCATAAGATCATCCATGTATAATCCATTACAATTCCCACAGATTCCAGTCAAGTTACCACCAAAGTAGTCTCTCGAAACCTTGATATTAACAAGGTGTATGCCATCAAACTGAACTCTGATATTACAATTAGCATGTACAACAGTAATTAGATTACTACTTTTGGAAACTTCAATTTGACCGTCTGCTGATTCAAATGGTACTCGTACTGCAGTTCCATTCACCTTAAATACAATTTGAAGAATGATTGTAATGCAAAATCTTAAACTAATACATCCTACAAAAAAAATATAGTATACACAAAGGTAATGCGCCCGAATATAACAAAAAAAAATCTATTTTACGGTCTTGTTCAGTTTAGAGATAATGATATTCATCTGCATTATAACTGAGTTTTCCGAAGGAAAAAAGTCATTAATTTGGTGAAGTCTGTCGAGCTTGCGGGCGGCGGGCGGACGATTTGGCTGCCAAAAGTTTCCTTTCAATAACTTATGAACCGTTCGACCAATGGTTTTCAAATTTAAATATATTGTTACTAATGACAAAATAGAGGTCAAGTTCGAAACTGACGATTTTCACTTTTACCGTTCAGGAGTTATGGTCCTTGAAATGTTGGAAAATGACACTTTATGTCGTTTCCGTTCAATAACTTATGAACTCTTCTACCAATGGTTTTCAAATTATAAAATGTTGTTACTGATGACAAAATGAAGATCAAATTCGAATTTGGTGGTTTTTATTTTTACCTTTCGGGAGTTTTTGTCCTTGATCTATTGGAAAATGGCACTTTGTGTCGTTTCCGTTCAATAACTTATGAAACCTTCTGCCAATTGTTTTCAAATTTTAATATGTTGTTATTGATGACTAAATGGAGGTCAAGTATAATATTGATGAATTTCACTTTTACCGTTCAGGAGTTATGGTCCTTAATCTACAGGAAAATTGCACTTTATGTCGTTTCTGTAAAATTACTTATGATCCACTTGACCAACGCTTTAAAAAAAATGATGGAAAAATGGAGGCCATATTCGATATTGTTGATTTTCACTTTTGCCACCTAGGAGTTATGGTTCTTGATAGATTAAAAATTACACTTTATGTCATTTCCGAGCAATTACTTATATGAGCTGTTCAACCAATGCTCTTAAAATTTTGATATGCTGCATCACGAATTAGCCGCAAGACAGAGAAACTTACTAATGCAACTCGTATTGTTAACGTGAAATACTGTAACGTAACTAAAGGAACGTATTGTAACGTCATATCATTATTACGCTGATTGTATGCATGCCGTCTCTAGTCAGTATAGTAAACAGAGTTTGAATATACGCACGTCTTTCTATTTACATAAGCGAAGTACTAACCAACTAAACCCAAACATTGGTGCAGTGATTTATCGAGAAGTTAAAGGCTATACGTGGCGGACACAGAAGCGCCGTTACCAGACTAATTCACAGAGCAGATGAAAAAATTGCCCAAAATGCCGTAACAGCGACATTACACAGCTGTTTGCCGTGACCAGGATTATTGACATTACGGAAGTCGGAGAAATGGAACAAAAAATTTTGGATACGAAATTTTGGATACGAAGGATTACACTTTTCAGATGGAAATAACTATTTGCAAATTCAAGGATATGTTGTCAAACTCAAAAAAGCAAGTGAACCACAACAAATGGTGAGAAATTTGGCACATTCTTCATCGCATCAAACTATTATACTCCATTAGAATTGTAATCAAATCCATGAAGATTTAGAAACAAACCCGTTATCGCACATTTCCGTAATCCCGTCAAATTTCTATCACAGGCTCCCTTAATTTGATTTGCCGACCTTTTCTGGGGATATCTTAGCATGGCAAACCTTCTGGGATTCTATCCAAACAACAGTGCAAACAAATCCGTCTCTCACGAATGTCCAGAAATTCAGCTACTTGAAATCTCAAATCGTTCAGGAAGCTGAGCAATGTATTTCAAGACTAGCTCCCACTAGCGCTAATTATGAACAGGCAATTCATCTATTAAAGGAGTGTTTTGAAAAAGTTATGTTTCTGGTAGCAAAATAGTGGTCAATTTTGATATTGACGATTTTTTTTTGCCATTTTGGAGTTTTGGTACTTGATAGATTGGAAAATAGACATAGAATGTGGCAGGTCAAAAATGCCTGAAAGCACCTTTCAAAATACAGAAACCCAGTTTGCTGTCAATTTAGCAGCTCATTCCTTGTTTTTATTCTTATCTTGGTATCTATATTCAAAATGAATTCATTAGATTTTAACATGGGGAAACTACTATTGCCCCTATTTAAGAACATGTTCCCTTATCTATCATACACAATGTCTCAATTTTATGATAGATGTATTTTCCTACTTAGGTCTTTCCTATTTGAATTGCCATTGGAAGGCAAGTACAAAATGATATATTTTTCATTAAACTCCTTAAAATGTAAATTTACCACTAATTTTGTTTTCATTTTGTATAAATCGAAATATACCTCCATTAATACTTAAATTACTTACTAAAACATTGCCCCCTTTTAATACACGAACTTTGTATTCGCCAGCATAGACATCTATCATTCTAGTGTAGGAAACGTCAATGCTGCCACCACGTATTTCATTTTTAGTCTCCACCCTGAATTTACATTTGTCATTTGGAATTGTCGATTTCCAGAGTGTGTATTTACATGTTCCCATAAAATGTATATCTGCACCATCAGGTGTGTAATAGTGAGGATCACCTGATCCAATACAGTTACAATAACCTGCAATTCAGTTTGCACATGAATATTATTATATAACAAAAAGGCGGAAGATACCAACGGGAGAATCAAAACTCAGAAGTCGACGAAAGACAGATAAAACCATGACAAACAGTCTAACTACGTAGAAAACTGTACAACACCAACCTAACCAAAAACCGAATTAGCAGATGCTCCCGTAGAGAAAGCAAATACTGCTCGAAATGTGCCACCATTAAAAAGTATGATACCGATTTTCGTAAGCACGACGCATATTGGGTGTTTTCTAAATAGCTGTTTAGAGAAGGTATAAATACAATGTCTGTTATAACATATATTTTTTTACTTGATCGGTGTCGGAAAATAATCAAAAGCAGTATTAAATAAGCCAACAGCCAGGCCCTTAATAGGCCACAAATAGAGATTTTGGTGAGAGATTGACAGGCTTTGGCAGTCTAAATATTCAAGTCTGATATGTAGATTGTTATAACAAACATAATGTTAAATTCTGTCGACGCATGCGCCCTATGTTTCCATTCCTAAAAATCCAATGAAAATTGACCTGTTTTCCTCACATTTCAAAGGAAAATTTAAGATAAAAAGGACGTCATGAAAAGGACGCTCATATTCTAATTTTCAAATAAAAAAGCATATGTCCTATATATTCATTGTTTTAGCTATGATTCTTGGTGAAATTGCTAAATACATCCTAATTTTAAATTTGAGCTAAAATAGGGGTCATATTAGGGCCCTGTTGAACTTACTCCTTTGATCAGATAATGATGTAGTCAAGACAGCGTTATTTTGAATAATTTTAAAACTATAAGAAGTTATGTAGTATCGAAAAAAATTTAAGAAGTTTGTCAATATAATAAAACTGACAAAGAACATCTGTTACACTTTTAAAATAAACTTGAGTCCGTACGGTATAATAAAAAATTATAATGATGATATATAAAAAAAATTATAAAAAGATCCTGCTAAGTGTAAAGCACATAAACAAACAAATAAATATTATGGTACAGAAACATGTAGATAGAAAGTAAATATCAGACAGATGGGCAAACTAAAATACTGACATATCCGTGCACCCTTTTTGAAACGATTAAAAAAGTAAATAACTAATTAACAATACATTTATTCAGAATTTTGTAAATGTAGATGTTTAAGTTTGATTGAATTGTTTGCGACTAAACAAAAGTGTTAGTTTGATGTGAATTTAATACATGACAAAAGTTAAAAAACGAGAGATTGAAATGCAGAAGTATCGAATACTTTCCCTGTCAAACACTAATCTGAACTACATTGTGAAATAACTTTGATTCACAATTCACACATGCATGAAATTGTTTATAAATCTATTTTACTAACTTGGACATTCGAAGTTTTTGCATATTTCAGTTGTTCTTTCAATACCAGATCCCACACAGTTTTTTCCAACAAAACTAGGACTAGGATTTGTGCAACTTCTCTTCCGTGATCTTGATCGCATTCCAGTATTACATGTTTTACTACATTCAGTCCAATCTGACCAAGGACCAAATGATCCCCATCCTCCATTAACTGTAGTTTATTATAAAAATATCTTATTTTATACTGAAACAACTATATATTTTAAAAGAAGAAGAAGTGTTTACACAGATAACATGAATAAAATGAGATTTTTGAATATGTAAATGAGATGGCAACCACAAAACAATAATAATCAAACAAATAAATAACTAGATGACATCTAAATGTCAAAATACAGTTTAGTAAAGTGTTATTTTCTTTAGCGGTAAATTAGGGTGACAGTACTTTACCGATGTCCAAAACTCGATAAGAAAAAAAATGTATCAACAAAAATACCAAACTCAAAGATTAATTCAAAAAGGTTGAAGTCAGTGAAACCTGATAAACCAAACGCTCGACTATATCAACCAACAGGAAAGATAAATCAAGGTCAAAACAAAAATTGAAGAAATTGCAAGAACTCCAAAAGCAGCAAGATTGGATGCGTCGACAGAATAAGCGTCTTTTATTATGCATGCGTCACCCGCCATGTGAATCCACAATCCGTTGTAATGTCACAACCAGGAAAAAGACATGATCAGTAAAATTACAAATCAGATGACTATAATGGTATACAAAGATCTAAAACCATGAAAACCTGTCGCTAGTGAGTTGTGACACAAAAAAAAATTAAAACATCAAAAAGAAAGTTATTAAAGCAATGGATGTGAAAATTGCATCAGATGAAGCCTGATACTAAATTTTCAATGATTATAGTTTTCAAGAAAAATATGACGAAAATTTTCTAACATATTTAGAATTATATAAGAACTTACACGGTAAACAGGAAATTTAGAATTTATAAAATTAATGCATCATACGGTAAAACTAAATTCTCAAATGAAGATTGTTACAACATTTCAGAAAATTCTGACTCGAACTTTCTTGAGAAAAATGCGACAACAATTTCAAAAATGGCTATTGCATGTAAAAATATGTATATAATTTTGGCAAACAGTAAGTTGGTCAATTTTGAATGCCAAAACGCATCACACAGGAGGCAAGCTGATATGCAGCTTGCAATCAATTCCAGGAAGCGTGTGATTTGTAGTTCACAATAAAAAAATTCGACATACATTTCAATCGATGGACACACAGGGGTTAAACAGTTTGACCCCTCTTTCGTAACTTGGAAGTAACAAAACTGGAATAAATATGCTGATATGAACAATGCATGCATTCCTACAGACGAGTTTTTGGGACGAGACACTTTTGACCTAGTGTAAGATCAAATGAATGTATTACCAGTACTTTCTTAGCAGTTCATAGCATAAAAATCTCAAATACAGGAAACTTTAACATCAAACGGGAATGGTTCGATATCGAATCTCATTTTCCATGTATATTGAGAATGAGAAGTTGGTCGAGGACAAAATTATCACGAACGTCCATTTTAATAACTGTATATTAATAATAATTGGTATAGCTTTCAAAGTGTAAGAGGCATAACTCCAATGAAAAAATGTTAAAATGATTGTTTTTATCATATCTTATAAGATTGATTCATTAATTGGTGTTTAACGCCTCTTTCAGCACTATTGGCTTTTTCGTGGCGGTCAGTTTTTATTAATGGGAGAATCCGAAATGCCCGGAGAGAACCACCAACCTTCCGGAGGAAAACTGACAATCCTTGTCAGTTAAGATTTGAGTTAATCTGTCGCGTGCGGGTTTGCACTTAAAAAACCACAGTGTTGACAGGCTAGTAACACAATAGTTGGACTACTTAGACCAGTGGGCCAGCGAGGCCCACCTTTTTCATAACATGACTTGATACTACATATTTGTTCAATCTTTTTGCCAAATGCGGCAAGAATTCATTTTACCAAGAATCATTCTTTAATGAAAAATAACACTTAAAATAAATAAGTTATAACTCAAACGATCCGACTACAAGGAGAAATATTAAGAAGAGATAAAAATTATTATGATTGCACTATCAAATATTGTAGGTACTGCAAATGCACAAAGTAAGTGGAGGAATATTTTTTATGTTTTATTTTTATACAGTAGGGCTGAAAAATTATAAATTTTTGCTTCACTCTATTGGTCATTTGTGATTTATTTACATAAAATATTTGTATAAAATTTTACAAAAAGAGCTCTTAAGCGAACAGAAATAAGGACTATAGCCCCTGACATATATTATTGTTCTATATTCTGTTTTTCTTATTCCCTTTGGTTGTTCTCCCTTTCTTTTAACTAGAATTCATAAAGAAAATTTAAGATAAAATTGAAATTGGAAACGGGAAATGTGACAAAGAGACAACAACCCGACCAAAGAGCAGAAAACAGCCCAAGGCCACAAATGGATTTTCAACACAGCGAGAAAATTTCGCACCTAGAGGCCGGTTTTAGCTGGCTATTTAGGTAAATTATTAATATTCCTTATTCCTTGTGAAACATAAATGTGGCCGATCTATAGATGTCTCACGACGCAAATAAGAGCTGTTTCTTTGTGTTAAACTGGAGGATCAAAGAGCATGTGTCGCCCACCTCCATTTTGTTGATCTTTATTGTGTTCAGTGTTTACAGTTTCTCTCTATCGTTTATAGTTTTTGCCCGAAACACAAAAAAGGTTAAAACGTTGTCATGTAAGGGCAATCACTTCTATATAGAGAAAACCAACGACTTCGGCAAATTTTGACTTATTTGTAGATCTTGTCCTGCTGATAATTTGTTGCTTTTTAAAAGGTCTCTCTATCTATTATAGTTTACAAGATAATAAGCAAAAAGTAAAATATACAAAAATACCGAACTCCAAGGAAAATTCAAACCGGAAAGTTCCTTATCAAATGTCAAAATCAAAAGCTCAAACACATCAAACGAATGGAAAACAATATATATTCCTGACTTGTTACAGGCATTTCCTTATGTAGAAAATGGTGGATTTAACCTGGTTTTATAGCTAGCTAAACCTCTCACTTGTACGACAGTCTCATAATATTCCATTATATAGACAACAATGTGTGAACAAAACAAAAAGACATAATAGGTAAAAATGTCAAAAATAGGAGAACAGCAGTCAACATTTCTATTGTGAGTAATGTCGGCCATGTTGGTTGGCAAGTGAGGTCATCGAATACATTTTTTAATCCAGATACCCAAATGATTATTGTGGCTAAGTTAATATATTTAAAACTTTCAAATAAAAAAAAAAATAAAGACATATTCCTTGACCTTAAATTTTTTTACCACTAGAGTTATATATTTTGCTTGACCAAAAGAGTTCGTAAATCTTTTTGAAACAGATATAATCTATTTGAAAAGCTGTCTTCACAGTTACTGTAACACAATGGTCACAAAACTTTAATCTAAAAAAAATATGTCCAAGGAAAATATTTTTTTTATTATTTCGCGAGGAAAACAGCATACTTGCGAACATAATCACTAAGATTTACCAGGTTTCTTGGTACACAAGTATACACCGAGCTTATTTAGCTTGCACCATTCATCTGGTGCACATAAAATTGACGCCGGGACTGATACCAAGTGGAAGGTTCCGTTGTTTGATTTGCATTGCTGTGCATTAATACAATCACCTTTTGGATAAACATCACCTAACTAAAGAAGAAACAATAGATTTATTACAGTGATTAAAAGTAAACATACTCAGACATACATGATTTATAAAATACTTATGGGATAAGTGATATAAAAGTTTAGTATTGCTACATTAAAGCTATGATATATTAATTAGATATAAGTCTATATTTCTATTTTATTTACAGTTTTTATGGAAAATTTTAGAAAATATATTTCAGAAATAAGTAAATCCTATCATGCATACAGCAAGCTTTGAAGTTCCTGTTCCCATGTTCAATCTACAAGATCCACATTTGTCAATCGTAACACACTTGTCACCATTCAGAAACGTATTATCAGGACATGTACATCCATCTACAGGCGGGTCTTGGCAGCTTTGATCGGCTGTTGGATTGTCACATGTATTGGTACAAGATATTGCCGTCTTGTATACAAGTCCACCATCACATTTTAATGCTAAAAGTAAGGAAACTCATTTTATAAACAATATGAACAGTAAGATACACCAACACAATCTGTACTACTGAATTCCTATGCAAGTAAATTCAGAAGACTCTGTGGCTCAGTACTTTAATTGAATATTTAAGTAAAACAAATTAACTTTGTTGTATATAGATTTTAGAATATGTGGTATAAGTGCCAATGAGACGACTCTCCATCCAAGTCACAAATTGTAAAAGTAAACCATTATAGGTCAAGTGCGGCCTTCAACACTGAGCCTTGGCTCACACCGAACAGTAAGCTATAAACGGACCCATTAATGACTAGTGTAAATCCATTCAAACAGGAAAACCACCGGTTTAATCTATATAAAAATCGAGAAACGAAAAACACTTATGAACCACACCAACAAACGACAACCACTGGACATCCGGTTCATGACTTAGGACAGGTGCAAACAAATGATGCGGGTTATGCATTTTTGTATTCACTGTCACATAGAACACTCATAGTAAAATTAATAGATAGTCATATAATAAGTGGAGCTGTGTTACCGAAAAACACTGTCCCAATTTAATGCGTGAGGTATTTGAAACTTTAGTTTATTTTATCATTAACAAAACAAACAGCTAAAAAGGTTCCTTAGCGTGTTTTAAATGAAATGAAACTATACTTGACGTAAATTATACTGTAATTCCTGATTTATTTATGAAAAAGCTTGGTTTAAATAATAGACATGTTAACAAGACCGTAAGCTCAGAAACGTTAATATTGTATTCGCCAGCAAAATGCCCAGTTTGTAGTCCGTTAATTGAAAATGAAAAACCGTTTATTTTTTATAATTCCAATTACAGATATTTTCCTAAATTTTTTATAGTGTTCATTTTATTCTAAATCTATACAAACTATACGATATGAATAATACTAGAGTTATGTATAACAATTAAAATAGTATTTCATTGTTTTAAGACTATAAAACGTTTTCGCATTCAATTATTGTGATGGCTTTTATTTATTACCGATTTTGTTTCATAAGTATGATCTGATTTCCAGAAATTGAGATTATAAAATAAACCAATTTATATCAAGCAAATATGATTAGAATCATCATATCATTAATGTCATATTCTATACTTTTAATGGATATATTGGCTAGAAGTTTTACAAAGCTGACATATAGCACAAATGCGACAAACATTGTTAAAGACTTACGACAGAAGGTGGGGGTTCTCCATTTTGTTTGAAATCCATGCTGACTACAAGCTAAAGCAGCAGTCTGGAGAGTTTGACAATGCACATCAGATCTATTTGAATTACAGTAGTCAACTTCACAGCTATTGTATAACTGGCCAAAATTAACCTTCTTGGAATCCATACATGCTTTGAATGGACTAGTATCTGATGATAAAAAGCCGCAATATTTATCTGTTCTGGCTAATTTCCGTTTGTCCTTTGTACAGTCTTTTAATGGCGGGGCATCTACACAACTATAGATAAAAAGTCAAATGATTAAATAGATAGACTGGTTGTCATTTCATTGATTTAAAGATATAATGTAACAAAATATTGGCTAACATATTATCCAAAATATTGCTTAAAATTGTCAAATATTGCTTAAAATTATTTTAATTTAAACATATCAGACTTTAATGAAATTTTAGTTGGTAAACATTTGAAGATATGTTTTATCTGTGTTAACTATTTTCTATGACACAGCTGTACTATTAATTGACATATATTTAGATAGTGTTTAAGACCACATTGGACATCCATGCTTTGGTAAGGACAACCCAATAATAGTTGAGAAAAAATCAAAGTAGGAAGTGTATTATAGCATTATAATGTGAGACACAGATTAATCATATCGGTCAAATATTAATGATGGTTACCGTAATACTTGGTGTAGTGTCGATATAAGTCGTTTTTTCCTCATAGCTCTATTAGAGCAGTTTTTGTAACAGAAGCACCTCTGTTAATGAAGTCCGTATAATGAGAACATGCATGAGTCTAACGTATTATAGTACATGCTTTGGTGAGGGAAAAACAAAAAAAGATTATGACAAGAAGAATACACTAGGAGGTGCACATTAGCAATATAAAGTTGAAATTAAGAGAAATTTTTAATATATTGTAAGAAGAGTTTGAGGGGGAGTAAAATAAAATAGGTATCCATACAAAAAGTGATGTCAAAATATATGATATGGTAAAAGAACTCCCCCCCCCCAAAAAAAAAAATTAATTCATAAAATTATGATTAGAGGTTTAGGGGGAGTTTCGGATACAAAATGGTACACCTAATAAATCCGGGTAAAATTCAAGGTTTAGAAAGGGACTTGTCTTACTTTGTATCTGGTAGGTCTGAATCATCTGTAACTTTGTAACTATTGCCGATGTCAGCATAACCCTGTCCTCCTTTAGAAGAAACATCTTTTCCCTCTTTGGTCTGGAGATCATCTCTATAATTTCCATTACAGTTACCACATAAACCAGTTAAATTTCCGGCAAAGTAATTTTTAGACACCTTTACATTGACCAAATGGTAGCCATCAAATTGAACCCGTATGTTACATTTGGAGTGCACGGCAGATATAAAACTTCCACTTCTAGATACCTCAATATTGTCATTTCCAGTTTTTACAGGCAAACTTGCTCGGAAACCATTAATCTGATGAAAATATACAAACATAATCAATTGAAGCACACATTCTTAACTTGACACTAATACGCATAAAAACATCAACGATTACTCTACTGTCATTGATTTTGTCAAAGCCTTGTTAATTTTCTCCAATTAAATTATAATTTATTGATTAATCTTAATCCCTTGCTGCCATTCATTTTTATACATATATTCATGTATATAATATAACATAGTTGGCAAAGTAGACACAGCACTTGTAGTGTTGCCTTCAATGTCTAAATGCTTGAACTTCAAATCGAACTGACTTAAGAATATAATTTCAAGCACATATATACAGTTCTGATTTTGTTATGTTAAACTCAAAACGTCAATATCGTAAATATGTAAACATCTTACCAGCACATTTCCGCCATGCAAGAAACGAATTTGAGAATTTCCCATGTAAAAATCAATCATTCTTGTGTAAGAAACATGCGTATACCCATAGCGTCTCTCATTCTTCGTCTCGACTCTAAACTCACATTGATCGTCTGGTATTGTTGATTTCCATAAAGTGTATTTGCATGTTCCCATAAAATGTATAACAGCACCGTCTGGAGTGTAATAGTGAGGATCTCCCGATCCTTCACACGAACAAAAACCTACATAATAAAACAGCCACCTATTCACTTTTTCATGATTGTCTGTTTTTTTTTTAGTTCTGTTTTATTTTACGCCTAGCTTCATGGGCAACGAATGATAGATACATAAGAATCTACCAGTTTAGATTCAAATCTGGGCCAAGTGAGCTTTTCTCATCACTTGGCGTCCGTCAGCCGTCGTCCGTCAGCCGTCGTCGTCGTCGTCCGTTAATTTTTACAAAAATCTTCTCCTCTTAAACTACTGGGCCAACCAAACTTGAGCACAATCATCATTGGGGTATCTAGTCTAAAAAATGTGTCCGATGACCCTGCTTGCCAAGCAAAATGGCCGACATGGCTACGAATAGAACATATGGGTAAAATGCAAGTTTTGTTTATTATTTTAAAACCGTTATAAATAGGGAAAATCTGACAGGAGCGAAAATGTTCAGAATGTTGAGCTCTACCAATTGTCCGTAACGCCAAAACTGTCAGACGACTTCTTATAGGAGTTATTGCCCTTAAATGACAAATTTTACCATTTTCTTAGATGTTTGCCTACTATCTTGAAAACTATAATAAATGAAGAGAAACTTTAAATTGCAAAATTGATCAGCAAGACAAGATCTACAATTAAGACGGAATGGAGGAAATCGTCCAACAACACCTTATTTGAGTTGTTGCCCTTTAATAGCTCTTTTTCCATTGTCTATTAACTTTTACAAATATCTTCTCCACTAGAACTACTGGGCCAAATTTAACCAAACTTGGCCACAATCATCATTGGGGTATCTAGTTTAAAAAATCGTTTCCCAGGTTTTTGATAATTTGTTTCTGAATGAATTCATAGGACTCTAAAGATGAAAGGTGAAATGAGGTTTGGCACCCAGCAGTTAAATCAATATATCTTCAAATTGGAGGCATATATCAAAAATCCGATACATGGTTTTGTAACTTGTGTATGGTCAATTAAAGGGATAAAAAAAAACAGATTTTTACTACCATTTGACATGAATGTGATATTTTCATCTCAGTTGAGAAAGCACTTTTTGGCAGTTAATGAAATATTTTTTTTTATTGATTTCTAGTATACCAAAAATAACTTTATCTATTAATAAAGGAAGAACAATATTTCAGCTTTAAAATGAGTTAAAGATTTAAAAAATCAATTGAATAGTTTTGGAGAAATTCATCTTTAAAGACTGTTGGTTGAAGTCAGAGAAGTCAAACTGTAGTACTACCTTAAGACACAATTTCCTAATGTACTGTTATATCTTTTACTTTTCGAATTTAACTCAATTCTCTATATTGCACAACATTATATATCGTGAGCAAAAGAATGCACCTTTTTTGTCATTATAGGGCGCATACTATCATTTCCATTTTTTTTTTATGATGGTGTTTGTCAAACTTTAGTTTTCAGTGTTTCTTGCTGCTAGCACGTGTATATGTCGTGAATAGTCATGTGTAGGTCTTTGTTTTTTTAAGTTTTGTAGAATATTGTCTTAATTTATTACCTTTTGGCTTAATGATCTGCATACAAAATCAATAGAAGTCTATGGAATACTTACTAGGACACTTCAGTGTGTTACAGCTTTCATAAGAACTTTCTTTGATTGATCCAGCACAAGATGTGCCTCCGGACTGGGGTTTTGGGTTGGTACAACTTCTGCCACGTGTTCTTTGACGAATTCCACCATTGCATGTTTTACTACAGGTACTCCAGTCTGACCAGTTTCCAGTTATTTGCCAACCACCATTAACTGATAGAAATGCATGGATGTATGCTTATAAAAACTGATCAATATTCATTTTTATAAAAAAAATCGTGCCAATGAAATAAAACGTGTAAACAGAAATTTACTAACTATAACAGACTTCAAAGTGGTAGTTTTTTTTTCTGTTAGCATAGGACAGCACAGATCGGTTTATGAAATATTCCACATTCATATGGAATAGGGTGTTTTCCTCTAGTAAAAGCATCCCTATTTTAGGCAACACAAGTCAATTATAATCTCATCAGAGATACCAAGATTAAAATTGTATACACCAGATGCGCGTTTCGTCTAGAAAAGACTCACCAGTGACGCTCGAATCAAACAATTTAATAAAAGGCCAAACAAAGAACGAAGTTGTTGTTGAGCAAAGAGGACAGCCTTACAGCTAAGGTAATCTATTCCTTGAGAAGAAAATCCTTTTTTTATTTCGAAACGTTTGTAAACAGTTAATTTATGGCAGATGTTTTTGCTCTAACCAATGTTTCCATGCCACTTTGTACGCATTGAAAACAACTTGATACAATGGATATTTCAGGCATAATAGGGTATTGTGATCCTAAAGGAGTACCTGATTTGAACCCTGGTTATCACAGAGGTTAGTATTGGCAAATGTTTGATATAAGTCTTATTTGTAAGTAATTGTACGCACATCTTTGCTTTAACAATGGAATAATCTGTGTTCTATTTTAAGAGTATCTAGTTTTTTCATTATAAATGTTCAATTTCCTAGTCTTCTTAATTCCCATCCGTTTTTTTTTCTTTCGAACCGGAATACCCACTACAACATGCACCGAAAAACTTACTTGGCTTTTTTGTACAATCATACATGCCAAAGTTGTTTGTTTTGCACCATTCATCCAATTGACAGATTTTTTTCGCTGGAATAGTTACTAATTCAAAGGTACCATTTACCATGTCACACCTTTGTGATACGATGCAATCACCTTTTGGATAAACATCGCCAAACTGCAATGATTTCATAAATAAAAATACTTCTTAATTTTTTATGAACAAAAAGTAACACGTTCGATGTACTGGTGTTTGCATCTGTATGGCGAAAATAAAGAATATGGAAGGTAACATTGTAAGCACTACTCATGAAAAACAACTATTTGCATACTTGTATATAAGATATTTGATGTCAGCTGTTTGACGTTTGTTTCAATAGTATATGATACGAAAACCCGCGTTCCATATAAATCATTATTTCTTGAGATGTTAAATAAGCGTTCAAGAAAAATATTGAAACCAAGATTTTCAAATAAATAAAGGAGATGTAGATCATACACTAAGTACGCTAAATAGATAGCAACCAAACGACAAGAATAATTATAAAATAAAACTAGAGAACATCATATTGTCTAGAGAGCAATACACGATCATAATGAAATAGATGAAAAACAGATGAAAAACAACTATTTTGAATACTTTTATTGTTGTGTTTGACGTTGCTATAAAAGCGGGAGGTTCGGCATGCCACAAAACCAGGTTCAACCCACCATTTATTTCTTAAAATGTCCTGTACTAAGTCAGGAAAATGGCCATTGTTATATTATAGTTCGTTTCTGTGTGTGTTACATTTTAATGTTGTGTTTTTGTTGTGTCGTTGTTCTCCTCTTATATTTGATGCGTTTCCCTCGGTTTTAGTTTGTAACCCGGATTTGTTTTTATCTCTATCGATTTATGAGTTTCGAACAGCGGTATACTACTGTTGCCTTTATTTATTCATGACGGAGAAAAGTAGGAGACTAAAGGTGTTATTTTTCTTCATATTTCAAAATAGCCAGTGAAAATTGTTTTATGTCACAAAGAAATAAAAAAAAAAAAATATCTGATGACAAAGTCGTTGTTAGATTATCTCACTTGCAAAAAATCACTACATATGTGCCACTAAAAACAAAATCATAGAACGTTTTAAACTTTGTTGTCCTTTTAGAAATCCCCTTTCGAAAAGCTGGTTTGGTATCACCTGTGTGTTTTAACACAAGTAAACAAACTATATAAGTTGATTTAGTTAATTTTGATAATCTGTACAGTTTAAGGGCAAACAATTCATTTATATTAAAGGTTTACCATTAATGATTATCCAATTAAAATCAATAAGTTTAAACTTTGATCGAAGCTAAACTTACTGCCAATTTTGACGATATTCCACCAATTTTAAGATTACACGATCCGCATTTCTCAATAGGTACACATTTACCGCCATTCAAATATGTTTTATCAGGACATGTGCAGCCGTCAACAGGTGGATCTTGACAATTCTTTGTGGCTGTTGGGTTGTCGCATGTATTGGTACAAGATACTGTTGTTTTGTATACAAAATCCCCTGTGCAAGTCAACGCTACAAAAGCACAATAGCAGTTTAGTCAAGTACAAAACATCATAGTTGATACTCTGTAGATCATATGTAAAAAATAGCAATAAAAAGCCCACAAACTGTGTTAATCAATTATGCCTCCGTTGTTCATATTCGATTGAATACTAGTATATATATATATATATATATACAAGTCTAAATTGAAAACAACGTTCAAACCTATGATTGCGTTGGATAAAAACCGCAATTTTTATACGTGTGCATGCAAAACAAATTTCTTGTTAGAGGGGTCCAAATACTGCACAAACAACATTTTCCAAAAGACAAAAAAAGTGAAAAAGTATATTTTAACAAAACGCATTTGACAAACAGGTCGAACCACAAATGTTCTTAAATCCTGCTGACTGCCATTGGCGATTGCCAAATAAACGGACCACCGATGTAATAAATGGATCTTAATTATAAATTTAATACTAAACAGAAAACAATAAACTTGCGGAAAAGATGGTTTACGGCAAACAAAAGGTGCAAAGGTTTTTGTACACCATATCCGGATATATATGCGTATATATACGATAAACCATGTATGGCAAATATGACCATAGAAAATGTAAACCAGCCTTTTAATTCAACTTTGGTTTAGAAACGCTAATGTACTTTGAGTTTTTAAACTTTCACTGCTGATCAATCCGGATGAATGATTAGGAAATGTGCACCGAATGCAGATAAATAGGGTTGAGGAAGAAAACCATTTACCTAATTTGTTTTCAAAAAAAAAGGAACAAAGGTAAAATGATGCCGTTATCCCGAAGTTTGAATCTATGTTTTTTTCATGTTTCATAAAGAGTGTCTTGTGTCAATGAAATTGAAACTAAACATACTCCTTTACAAATCACAGAGACAAACCAAATAACACCGAATAACTTCTGCAGCAGGTTAACAATTTTATGAGTTTGAAATCACACGGCGGATGATGCATGCATAGTAGAGACGTTTACCGCGTCGTCGCATCCCGTCTCAATCATTTTGGAGTCCATGCGATTCCCTCAGTTTTTGTTTCTTACTTGGATTTGTCTCTTCGTAATTGACTTCCGATATTTTTCAATAGTAAACTACTAGTCGATATAATTTGTTATTTTTAATTTTTGGAGTAATTAGTTTGATTTTTGAGCGTACATGATGAAGGTTGCTCCACAATATGTCTTGTACATGGTAATCGTTTCACCCGTTGTGGAGCTATTTCTATATAAGTTAAAACTTACGACAAAATTTCAAGCTCCTCCAATTTACTCTATATCCATGTTGACTGCATGCAAGTGCAGTACTCTCTAATGTCTGACAATTAGCATTATCTTTATTAGAGGAGCAAACATCAAATTCACAGCTGGAGTACATCTTGGTAAAGTCTACTTTCTTTGATTCTCTGCATATCTTAAATGGACTGGATTCTGATAAAAGGTAGCCGCAATAATCATCTGTCTTGGCTAGTTCCTTGTCTTTATCGGAACATTCACCTGGGTCCTCAGCATCAGCACAACTGTTGAGAAGATAGAACATTAAACTTTTATATTGGGTCGGTTATATCAATTTTTTGGCTGAATCATCTTCTATAGATTGCAGTCCCATGTAACTCAACTACATTTAAAATCAACTAATTTATTTACCTCATCAGCTATTATCTCTATACTTAAACTGTACTTGAATATATTGAAATTTACCTTTTATAAAAAACATACTACAAAATTTTGAGGAGAACTAAAACGAAGTTAAAGTAATTCAAAATGTAAAAATTAAGTTAATACTTAAGCAACTATATTTATAGAAAATCATATACAAAAGTATTATAACTAGGTAAATGACACATGTAGTTATCAGCTCTGATATTAAAAAAGTAAATCGTACACAATTATATTTCTAGAGAATTATAAAAAAAAATATGCCAAAGTATTATAACTGGACAAAATATACGTTTATGGATAAAAACAACTAAACAAAATCATTAGTTATCTTACTTCAGATCTGGTTTGTCAGAATCATCCAACACTTTGTAGCTATTGCCAATGGTTGCATAGCCCGCCCATCCCAACCCAGAAACATCTTTTCCTGACTTGGTCTGGTAGTCATCCTTGGCATTTCCGTTACAATTCCCACATAGTCCAGTTAAATTTCCACCGAAGTGATTTTTAGAAACCTTAACGTCAATCATATGAGAACCATCAAACTGGACTCTTATGTTACATTTGGAATGAATTGCTGTGATGTAACTTCCACTTCTTGTTATCTCTATGGAGTTGTTTGCTGTTAATGTCGGCAATCCTACAGCTATGCCATTTAACTGAAGTACATATAAATATATTCTTGAGAAGGTGGGAGCATTTGAAAGTGAACTGGAAATATGTTTGGATTTTGACCATTTCATTTACGAAGTTGACATTCTTAATAGTATTTGGTTTTGTTTTTAATTATTGTTTAAACCAGATAAAAGACTGTCTTAATATCATAGCAACATGTCAGTATTTCTAATTGTTTTTCATTTGAAAACCTGATATAAAAATAGTCTTTATATAATAGAAACATGCCAGATTGTTGAAAAACATTAAAAGGAGCCATAGTTGCATAGTTCAACACCGTGTTTAACTAACAGATTTCTTGAAATGGTATTTAAATTTAGGAAAAATGAAACTAGAAGTACTGTGAACAAAAAGATTTTCCTTGCCCCCACATGAATCTTTGGCAAAATCAATGATTTTTAAATATACGCTATTCCCGGGCTTGTATTTCCTATCATGATTTCCTTGATATAGGACTGCTGCTCACAAGGAAGCTATTAAACCAAGAGTTCCAAATGGTGAAGTTGAAATCATCCCTTCGTAATTTTTACGGATGCCATCACGAGTTGGTTGACCGTAATGGAATAACCGTTTCACAGATGCTATCGGACATGTTCCTTATGTCGTAACTACAATACCCTTCCCTTTTCACGAATGTGACCTACCGAATTAGACTATTTACCTGATTTGTAATAACATAAACAACACGACGGGTGCCACATGTGGAGCAGGATCTGCTTACCCTTCCGGAGCACCTGAGATCACCACAGTTTTTGGTGGGGTTCGTGTTACTTAGTCTTTAGTTTTCTATGTTCTGTCATCTGTACTATTATTTGTCTGTTTGTCTTTTACTTTTGGCCATGGCGTTGTCAGTTTGTTTTCGATCTATGAGTTTGACTGTCCCTCTGGTATCTTTAGCCCCTCTTTTCAAGGGAAACACAAAACATATGAGGTGCACTATGTAATTATATTGTTAAGTTTCTGAGAAATATACAATAAATTACAGTGAGGGATTTTATGTGATTCCTTAAGTTTATGTTTATTACATTTAGTTTTGTCTTCTTAATCGATTAACGATTTTTGATCATCGATAAGCTACTATCACTTTGATTGGTAATTATGACCTTGTGGGGAAATTAAAGGCGATAATTGCATAATGGAGAATGCTCTGATATATATTTAATGTTTATGTCACAAAACATCTAGGGTTGTTTACTACTTACAATGTGTTCACATAGCCGCAATTCATTACAAAATTGAATAAATATTTAATACAGGTGAAGTGAACGAATTCATTTATATAAACATGATTTCTAGTGTACACCATTTAATGTTTAGCCATTCAGCTCGTAATGTTTAAATGATTAGTTCCGAGATACATTATTAAGCAAATGAAAGAAAATGAGGAAAGACATTTTTGAACTTAACAAAACAAAATTAATAAATTACTGATTGCGTAAACGTTAGATTATACAGCAAAAGTTTAGTGATATTGCTTTAAATCTATGTCGGAAATATTTAACACAAAATTTCAACCATCTAGCCTGAGCTTTCGTAATCGTTTCACAAATTTATAAACTTTTTTACACTGCTCGTCTAAGTATTAAAATATCAGATAAGATAATATTCAACATTGCTCACCAAAGCAGTACCACCTTGAAGAATGCGAATTTTGTTTTGTTCAATGAAAAAATCAATCATTCGTGTGTATGCAACCTTCGTTTGACCACCTCTTCTCTCATTTTTCGTTTCAACTCTAAATGAACATGCATCATTTGGTATTGTAGACTTCCATAATGTATATTTACAAGTTCCCATAAAATGTATTTCTGCGCCATCTGGTGTGTAATAGTGAGGATCGCCGTATCCGAAACATGTGCAAAAGCCTGAAGATTTAAAAATTAAAGATAAACAGAAATTAGATTTGGATTGTTAGATGACAGATGTTGAACTGGCAACCATAATGAGATCTGATAAACAATGGTTTTCGAGTTGAACAGAAAGAGTTGTGGGTAGTACGTCATACAAAAAAATCTAGACATTTATTTTTCAAATATTACGACCACGATCGACAAAACGCAGTAAGCTCCTCATGATTTTTTTCTATTCTGTGTGATTATATGGTCTCAGATCAAATATTTTTCTAAAGTAGTCCATCGAACGAAATATTTTAGCGCCGATAATAATATTAGCAAATACAATTGTCATAAACGTAACCCATATGGTAAGGCATGCATTTCATTCAAGTAATCTTTCTTTTATATTTCGTATTTATTAAATTATCTCTTCTTATAAAAATCATTGAAATTTGAGTATACAATATAGGAATTTTTGGCACAGAATTTATTCATTACAGCTTCATGTACAACCGTTCTAACCATTGAGATAAGATTGATTTCCTTTGTTCTATTGACCATGTTAGAAGATCTAAATTCTAACAACTGGCAGCCTACATAATTATGATCTCAGACCATTTGACAGTTGAAATAAGGCTATTCGATGAACTAATCACCATTGTCGAATGCATATAGTGTTAAAATTTCACAACTTTTGTTTTCGTCGCATACAGTCGCTTCTTTGACAAAGCCAATCATTATTGCTATCCAAGAATCTTCCCGAGTTAATTGTTTATTACTCAATCAACATGTTTAATGTGACTTAAGACATATTTCTCTAAAGTACTGTTATCTCTTTCACTTTTAAAATTCGAATCATTTACATATATTGCAGATCAATATATTGTGCGCAAAGCGAGGCAACATGTTCATGTCATTATGGGACGCATCATATCACTTCCATTTTTGTGTTTGCCAAACTTTAGTTTTCAGTGGTTCCTGCTAATAGAATGTGCATATGTCGTGAAAAGTCATGTGTCTTTTTTTTTTAGAGTATTGTCTTCTTGTTTTACCTTTTGTCTTAATGATCTGCATCAGAAAAAATATAAACAATAGTAGTCAATCTACTACTTACTTGGACACTTAAGTGTGTTACAACTTTCATACGAGATTTCTTTAATTGATCCAGCACAAGATGTGCCTCCGTAATTGGGTTTTGGGTTGGTACAACTTCTGCCACGTGTTCTTTGACGAATTCCCCCATTACATGTTTTACTACAAGTACTCCAGTCTGACCAGTTTCCAGTTATTTGCCAACCACCATTAACTGATAGAAATGCATGAATTTTAATGCACAACATGAACTTTCTGTTAACACATGACAGCACAGTTCACTTTGTGAAATATTCCACATTCATATGGAATTGCGTGTTTTCTAGTAAAACAAATCCGTTTTTCTTGCAACAGACAAATATAGAACGAAGTTGAAGTGCATTGAGAACAACCATACAACTAAGGTTATTTATTCGTTGGGTAGAAAATCCATGCTTGTATGCCAATTTGTATGCATTAAAGGTTGCTTTTAATGTTAGAGAGTAAGTTAATACAATGAACTTTTTTTATGCGTAATGGGATATGCTGGATCTTACGATTTGAACCCTTGTTATCACAGAGGTGAGTGTTGGCAAATGTTTTGTTTAATCTAAAATAAGCAGATGTGGTATCAGTGCCAATGAGACTACTCTCCATCAAAGTTACAATGTATAAAAAGTACACAATTATAGGTCAAAGGACGGCCTTCAACTCGGAGCCTTGGCTCACACCGAACAGCAAGCTATAACGGGCCCCAGAATGATTAGTGTAAAATAATTCAATCAGAAAAACCAACGGTCTAATCTATATAAAAAACGAGAAACGAAAAACACTTATGAACCACACCACCAAAGGACAACCACTGAACAACAGGCTCCTAACTTAGAACAGGTGCATACAAATGCAACGGGTTTAAACGTTTTAACAGGCACCAACCTTCATCCTAACCTAAAATAGTAGTGTAACATTACAACACTATAAAATATCAATTGAAATGGCTTAACTCGATCAAAAAGACATATAAACAAAAACAAGTAACAAAAACTGAACGAATAAGTCAAAACGACAACTCTAACCTACATGTAGGACAAAATGGCGTTAAATAAAATAACGTACAGAGTAAATTTAGATATAATAATTTTGTTGTTAGGAGTACAGAAACATTTTTTACAAAACAAATAAATTTGGTGTTCACAGTACGAGTACAGAAGTGAAAATTTACCGTCATACTACTTAAAGATGGTACATATTTAAAATAGTGAGACGAGATATAACACAAAATAAGTAAACATTGAATAACAGAAATGCATTACAAATTGTGTCAACAGGTCAAATTAACAAGAAAGTACGATTTGAGAGTACTCGCAGTTACTGAAATATAGTTAAAAGCCAAAAACAATTAATAATAAAAAATCGTGTATCAGAGACTAAAATCAATTAAAACACATCTCAGGGAATATGTGTTTTTAAGCCATGGACAGTCAAAGAAGACATGACTTGAAATAATCTGTGCTCTAATTTTATTTGTCTTTGTAAATTATTAACCTTTACTGTTTAGACCATTTTTGGTAATATCCTTTTGACGTGGCTCTGTACTTATGCATCGCACCAATGTGTTGTTGTGCTGTGGTCATTTTTTTTATCTTTCATTTTTGCTTATGTGATTTGTCTTTATCCAATTTTGGTTTTTCTTTGTTGACATATTTGTTTGTTTTTATAGTGATTAAGATTATAACACAATGTTGACTGCTGTACCCCTATTTTTGACTTATTTACCTATTATGTCTTTTTTGTTTTGTTCACACATTGTTGTCAATATAATGGAGTTTTATGCGACTGTCATACAAGGGAGAAGTTTAGCTAGCTATAAAACCAGGTTTTATCCACCATTTTCTACATAAGGAAATGCCTGTACCAAGTCAGAAATATGACAGTTGTTTTCCATTCGTTTGTTGTGTTTTTAGCCTTTGATTTTGAACTTCCCTGGAGTTTGGTTTTTTCGTTATTTTACTTTTTATGAGCATCATATTTTACTAAGTTTTATAGTTATATGTTCGATTTCATACTCTTCTTCCGTTCCGTTTTTTTTTTTCGAACCGGAATGCCCACTCCAACATGCACATAGATACTTACTTGGCTTCTTTGTACAATCATACATGCCAAAGTTGTTCGTTTTACACCATTCATCCAATTGACAGATTGTTTTTGCTGGAATAGTTACTAATACAAAGGTACCATTTACCATGTCACACCTTTTTGATACGATGCAATCACCTTTTGGATAAGCATCGCCAAACTGAAATGATTTCAAAAATAAAAATAATTCTTAATTTTAATGATCACATAGCACACATTCGTGTTACTGATGTTTGCAGCTATCATCTGTGAGACAAACAAATAATTATATGGAAGGTAAACTTGCCTTAAACAGCGTAAATATTAGCATGAATAACTACTATTTGCATACTTGTATATAAGATAAACTCATCAGAAATACCAGGATTAAAGTGTTGTATGCTAGACACGCGTTTCGTCTAAAATAGACTTTATCAGTGACGCTTGAATCAAAAAAGTTCAAACCGCCAAATACAGTACAAAGTTGAAGAGCATTGATACCCGAAATTCCAAAAGGTGTTATCACTTAAAGTTAAGGTAAGCTATTCCTGGGGTAGAAAAATCGTTTGACGTCAGCTACACGTATGTTTCAATAATTTATGATTTGAAAATGTGCGTTTCACATAAATCATAATTCTTTCTTAAGACGTTAAATAAGCATTCAAGATTCATATTGAAACCATGTTCAAATAAATAAAGGAGATGTAGAGCATTTGCCAAGTATATATACTAACCAGGCGACAAAAATAGTTAAACAAAAACTACCTAGAAAGCATCATATTGTCTAGAGGGCAACGCACAGTCTAGCGGGCAACATACAAATAAAACAAGTTTGACAACTCTATTATAGTGAAATAGATTCAAACAGATGAAAAACGACCATTTTTAATACTTGTGTTCATGGCCTGTACGGATAAGAGAAGGACACTAAATGTGTCGTTTTTCTTCATATTTAAAAACAGCCAGTATTATGTCAAAATAAAATTATAAAACAATTATCTGGTTCTCACTTGAAAAAATCACCACATATGTTCCATGCAGAACAAAATCGTAGAGCGTTTTTTATCTCTGTTATCATTTTATAAATTCCCTTTCGCAAAGTTGGTTTGATTTATCTTGTGTGTTTTAACACAAGTAAACAAAACATATAAATTGATTTAGTTAATATTGGTTTTTTTTTATACAATTCAGTGGCAAAACTTTCATTCAAATTCAAGGTTTAACATAAATGATTATCTAGAGGTAACCTATAATAGTTTTCAATAAGTTTAATAAGAAATCGAAGTTATACTTACTGCTAATTTTGAAGATATGCCACCAATTTTAAGGTTACATGATCCGCATTTCTCCATAGTTACACATTTACCGCCATTCAAATAGGTTTTATCAGGACATGTACAGCCGTCAACAGGTGGATCTTGACAATTCTGTGTGGCTGTTGGGTTGTCACATGTATTGGTACAAGATACTGTTGTTTTGTAAACAAAATCCCCTGTGCAAGTCACGGCTACAAAAGCACAATAGTAGTTTAACCTAGTACAAAAAATTAGTAGTTGATATTCTGTAGATCATATGCAAAAAAGAAAAAAAGTCCCCGAACCGTGTCAATCAATTGTACTGCCTCCGTTTTTCATATACAATTAAGAATATATATAAGATAAATCATGTACTCACAGTCTGTATCGCAAGCATGACCTTAGAAAATGTAAGCTAGCTTTTTAATCTATCTTTAGTTTAGAAGTTCTTTGAAGTTGAAAACTTTCCACGCTGATCATTCTGGATGAATGATTAAGACATGTGCATCAAAAGAAGAAAAAATGGTTCATTTTATTTGTCCGGTATAAACGACAGACCTATTCACTTAATTTGTTTTAAAAAATAGAAATAAAGGTAAAATGATGTAGTCATCCAGACGTCTGGATCTACGTTTTTACATGTTTCATAAAGCGTGTCAGATTTCAATGAAATTAAAACTAAACACACTCCTTTACAAGTCATAGGAAGAAAACAAATAACACCGAATAAATTTATTAGGTTAACGTATTCATTTGTTTGACATCACACGGCGGGTGATGCATGCATAGAAGAGACGCTTACCGTGCCGTTGCATCTGGTCCCGATCATTTTGGAGTCCGTGCGATTACCTCAGTTTTGTTAACTTGATTTGTCTATTCATGATCGACTAACGAGATTTCTACATTAGTAAGCTACTGGTTGTGATAAAATTAATCTTTAAAAGTATGAGTATTTACTTTGAATTTTGAGCGTACATAATTAAGGTTTCTCCGCAAGTATGTCGTGTATAGACGGTAATCAGTATTACCCTTTGTGGAGCTATTCTAATATAGATTAAAACTTACGACAAAATTTTAGGCTCCTCCATTTTACTCTATATCCATGTTGACTGCATGCAAGTGCAGTACTCTCTAACGTTTGACAATTAGCATTATCTTTATCAGAGGAGCAAACATCAAATTCACAGCTGGAGTACATCTTAGTAAAATCTACTTTCTTTGATTCTCTGCATATCTTAAATGGACTGGACTCTGATAATAGGTACCCACAATAAGCATCAGTCTTGGCTAGTTCCTTATCTTTATCAGAACATTCACCTGGGTCCTCAGCATCAGCACAGCTGTTGATAAGATAGAACGAGATATTTTATATTGAGTCTGTTCTATCAACTTTTAGGATGAATCATCTTCTATAGATTGTAACCGCATTTAACTCGAATAAATCTAAAATTATCTTAATTTTATAATCTTAATTTTATAATTTATAAAAAGTCACCAGTGTCTGAGCAGAAAGTTGATGAACCAGTGTCAAAGAACTTTTCGTCCTTTTTTCTAAAAAATTCATTGGAAGACATCAAGACCTTGTTGATAAATATTCCGTATCACAAATAATACATGATGGTCTTGTATTATAGATCAAAGGCAATTACGTGTTATAGTGTTCTTTTTTTTCATTGTTATTTTTTACCTTTACTGTTTAGTTTATTTTTGGTAATATACATTTGGCGTGGCTCGGTATTTATACATACCGCCATTGTGTTATTGTGCTATGGTCAATTTTGTATTCTTGTCTTTCATTTTTACTTATGCACTTTGTCTATAGAGTGTCTATATGCCATTTTGTTTTTCTTTGTTAAAATAGTTATTTGTTTTTTTAGTGATTAAGTTTATAACACAATGTTGACTGCTGTGCCCCATTTTATTTACATTTTTATCTATTTTGTCTGTTTGTTTTGCTGACATATTGTTGTCAATACAATGGAATTCTATGCCACTGTCATACAAGTTAGCTAGCTTTAAAACCAGGTCTAATCCACCATTTTCGACATAAGGAAATGCTTGTACTCAGTCAGAAATATGACAGTTGTTTTCCATTCGTTTGATGTGTATGAGCTTTTGATTTTGCCATTTTATAAAAGACTTTGTGTTTAGAAATTTCCTTTGAGTTCGTTTTTTTTTTGTTATTTTACTTTATGCCTCACCTGCAATTATTTCTAAACCTAAACTCTACTTATATCAAAATTTGACAACCTTTTATTAAAAACATACTACAAAATAATTAAAGAAAACTGAAACGAATTTAATGTAGTTCAAAAAGAAAATTATAGAGAATTATAGAAAAATATATGCTAAAGTATTATAACTGGACAAACTATACATTTATGAATAAAAACAACTTAACAAAATCACTAGTTATCTTACTTCAGATCTGGTTTGTCAGAATCATCCAATACTTTGTAACTATTGCCGATGGTTGCATAGCCCGCCCATCCCAACCCGGAAACATCTTTTCCTGACTTGGTCTGGTAGTCATCCTTGGCATTTCCGTTACAATTTCCACATAGTCCAGTTAAATTTCCACCGAAATGATTTTTAGAAGCCTTTATGTCAATCATATGAGAACCATCAAACTGGACTCGTATGTTACATTTGGAATGAACTGCTGTGATGTAACTGCCACTTCTTGTTATCTCTATGGAGTTGTTTGCTGTTAAGGTCGGTAGTCCTACAGCTATGCCATTTAACTGAAGAACATATAAATAGATACTTGAGAAGGTGGGTGCATTTGAAAATGAAATGAAACTATGTTAGGTCTTATGACCATTTTATTTTTTACGAAATTGATATTCTTAATAGTGTCGCCGTTTTTTTTTTTTTTTTTTTTTTGTTATATATTTTTGTAAACCAGATAAATTGGCAAATTCAATGCTTTGTTAAGAGAAATGCAAAACATATGAGGTGCACAATGTAATCACATGGTTGAGATTCTGATAAATATTCGGTAAATTACAATAAGGGATTTAGGAGGAACTGGGATACAAAATGGCTAAACCACAAATAATGCAATGGCAAAGTAATTCACTTGCGGAGGGAAATCCTAGAAATAAGCGGATTTAAGAATAAAACAGCAGGTACATAATCGCACTTTATGGTGAAGATTATGTGTAATTTTTCATTAAATTCTGATGGAAGTTTAGAAGGATAAGCGGATTTAAAAGTGTACTGAAATGTGCGGATGTCACAAAGTAGATCCCCTAAAATAATTTGGAGCAGAACCGGTTACCAAAGTTAGACGAAATGACGAAAGGATCGACAAACAGACGAACATCCCAATCACTATGTATTACGAACTTAAAAAAACAGAGGTATAATAAAAGTCGTTCCTAATGTCATTTGCATAACTATGTATCCTTTGATAAAAATAATGACATAACAAGCAATCAATTTCTTTTTAAGTCCTATTCCCGGCTGTGACATTTTGTTGGATTTAAGATTCGCATGACGGTTGGTGAATGCATAGCAGGAGAAGCTTACTCTGGCGACGCATCCGATTTCTGTCATTTTGCAGTTCATGTGATTCCTTAAGATTTTGTTTGTTACATTCAGTTGTGTCTTCTTAATCGATTAACAATATTTGATCATTGGTACACTACTAACGCTTTGATTTGTAAAATATAATCTTGTGGAGTTGATAAGAAAATGGTGAATGCTCACATCTATATTTAATGTTTATGTTACAAAGCATCTAGGGGCTGTGTATTACATACAATTGTTCACATAGTCACAATTCATTACAAAATTGCATATTTATTAAATACAGGTAAAAATAAACGAAAACAATGAAAACAACACGTTATAAATTCCATGCGTCCGAAGCGCTTTTCAGGATTTGACTTCATCAGGAACGCTCAAAGCCGAATATTTGAAAGCCAAGGATGTATAAGAACCGAAACAGGTAATATGCACCTGATTTGTAAAGTACACCATTTATTGTTTAGGCATTCATTTCGTAATCTTTAAAAGATTAGTTCCGGGATACATAAATTAAGCAAATGAAAGAACAATAAGGAAAGAAATATCTGAAATAAACGAAATATGAAATAAATAAATGTCTGATTGTTTCAATGTTAGATTCACAGTATGTATGTATTCAATTATACGACAAAGGTTCAGTGATATTGGTTTAAATCTATGGAGGAAATATATTACAAAACATTGCAGTCATCAAGCCTGAACTTTTCTAATTGTTTCCCAAATCTATCAAATCCTTTACACTGTTTCGTTTGAGAATTATAATATAAGGTAAGATCAAATTTCACATTGCTCACCAAAGTAGTACCACCTTGAAGAATGCGAATTTTGTTTTGTTCAATAAAAAAATCAATCATTCGTGTGTATGCAACCTTCGTTTGACCATATCTTCTCTCATTTTTCGTTTCAACTCTGAATGAACATTCATCATTTGGTACTGTAGACTTCCATAATGTATATTTACAAGTTCCCATAAAATGTATCTCTGCCCCATCTGGTGTGTAATAATGAGGATCACCGTATCCAAAACATGTGCAAAAGCCTGAAGATTTAAAAATTAAAGATAAACAGAAATTGGATTTGGGATTGGTAGATAATGGATGTTCAACGTTCAACGGAAAATTTTTCACACCATATAACAATAATCAGGTAGACTTTTCACTACATAATTCTTACTCCATGACATCCAGCATTTGCTCTCATGTACTCATGAATGACTGGTGAAAGCAGAAAATGCCGAAGTTTAGTCTTCAGTTTGATTCGACCAAAGTTCCTACTAACGAACTACTTTACGTAAAAGCACTCTAATGAGATCTGATAAATTTTGGTTTTCGAACTGAACAGAAAGAGATGCTGGTAATACGTCATTCAAAGAATCAATTTAAATATTACGACCACAATCGACAAAACTAAGTAAGCTGCTCATAAAGATTATTGTTTCTATTATATGGTCTCAAATAAAATATTTTACTAATGTAAGCCATAAACCTAACATTTCTGCGGTGATAACCATATTGGCAATATATTAGTCATAAAAGTTACACCTATGGTAAGGCAAAAGTTACCGTCCTGTAATCTTTCTGTTATATTTCGTATTTATTGAATAATAGAGATTATAAACATTTTATATTTTGAATAATCTGGTTTAATTCAATCAAATAATTGTGTGGGTGTTGCACTGTTTAGCTCATTGCATATATGGCATCGTCATAGATGGCGCTCTCGCATGGAATTCGAATTTTGGAATTCCTGTATCTGGCACTTGTTAATTTGTTGTCGACAACGAAGTAGGTGCTGTAGGAAATAGTTTAATTATTTAAAACTTAAAGATGCAAAACAAAAGATATGACAGGGGATCGCCATCAAGGGTCATTGAAAAGAAGAGGAAGACGACCAACAGGAAAGAAGGACAGGGAGTTCGGACCGTAGATATAACTCAAAAGAAGGACGGAGTTGGACGCAAACGGATGGACAGGAAAAGACAGGAGGTGGAACACGTGGAGACACAAGGACAAGAAGAAGCTGACATATTATCAGGTAATGAGTCGGAGTAGGATTCACGGGCATTCTCCCCTTTTATGCACGACCCGTCACATACAAATTTTGAAATGGCACATAATTCAATTGATTTCACCCCGACACAAGAGGCTAGCATTCATGACACAGTGGGGGAACACGTGCCTTTTGAAATTAAGGAAAATATTTGGGAGGAAAAGTTTATTGAGTTACATATTTTTTGGAGAACGCAAAAAGAAATGGAGGAGGTTGACGAGGGCGATTTAAAATTAAACAGGAGGAAAATTTGCTTTGAAAAAAGATCGTCGGGTATTGATTTGTGTTTACATTGAGAAATGCAGGACTCGGGCACAGGAATTGTTAAAATATATGCGCGATATGAGATGAGTTGCAACGAGGTCAGAAAAACTGGGACACCTATGACGAGCATTTTAGGCTAGAAATAGAAAAGAATCCAAATGTATCTTTGGGAAACATACACGGTGAATATTGGCTATTACACATCACATCTCCCACAGTACAAAACAATACGTCAATGCAATCACAAATACACAAAATCGTGGTCATTATAATTCAAATGCAGCTACACTTTCAAACGCTTACACGAGAGCACATCAGCAGTCACAGGTAACTAGTGGTAGTACAAATACTTCCTGTAAATACTATAATAATGGTAATGACTGGGCCTACTTCCCTCGTTGTAGGTTTAAACATGTATGTGAAATATGCAGTGGCAAAAAAAGAAAGGCCCAATGTAATAACCAGGCTCAAGGAAGAAGTAACAAAAAGTATAAATTTTTATTCATTAGGAAATACTCCTATTGAAGTATCTGTCTTGGAAAATTATTTAGAATTTTACCCACATAAAAATGTAGCACATGAAATTATATCTGGTTTCAAATATGGTTTTTCATTAAAATATTTTGACTCAAGGGAACCAAGGGAAAGTTCCAATTTAAAAAGTGCAATACAGCTACCCAACATTTTTAAAGAAAAATTAATGAAGGAAGTTAAACTTGGTCGCATTGCTGGTCCTTTAAGATTCCCGCCTTTTCAAACTACTTTGCCTACTACATTACTCACTTTTTTGGGTATAGAACTTGATACGCAAAATTTAATCATGCGGCTTCCAAATGAAAAACTTGTCAAACTCTCACAAAAAATCAGAGATACCTTAGACAGTTCTAAAATTACTCTTAAGGACATGCAATCTCTTCTTGGGCTCCTGAATTTTGCTTGCAAGGTGGTTGCTCCATGCCGCACCTTCTGCCGCAGGCTCGTAAATTTAACAATGGGGGTAAGAAAATCATATTACAAAATTCGAGTAAACAAGCAGATGAAAGCAGATTTAGAAATTTGGTTAGACTTTTTAAAACAATACAATGGTATCACTGTATTAACCGACAATGTATGGGTTTCAAACGAAAAAATAGAGTTGTTCACGGATAGTGCAGGGGGTCCAAAGGTGGGTATGGAATCTATTTTGCAGGTCAGTGGGCCCAAGGCATATGGCCAAAACATTGGGCTGAAACTGGAATCACTAGAGATATGACATTATTAGAGTTGTTTTCAGTTGTAGCAGCACTTATGTCCTGGGAATCATATTTTGTTAACAAAAATGTTATTTTTTATTTTGATAATCTGGCGGTTGTTCAAATCATTAATATGAAAACTAGCAAAGTAGAGTTATGACTTTAGTAAGACAAATTGTTTTAATGAACTTTATGAAATAATACGTCAGTTAAGGCAATTTATATGCCTTCACAACAAAACCAAATTGCTGATTGTCTTTCTCGTTCTCAGTGGGGAAAGTTCAGAAGCCTAGCTCCAGAAGCAGACCAGTGGCCAACCAAAATTCCAACACAGATCTGTCACATTTAAGTCAGGTGGCGGATTATATTGTCAACCAAGGTGTGTGTAAAACAATACACAAAAATCATAAAATTTGGCTCTGTCAAAACTTTGTGATTTTAGATCATCTTACAAATTGAAACAGCTATGGCCAGTGCCAGTCAATGATTTGCTTAATTTTATAGCTTTTTTGTCAGTACAAGGTCTTTCAGGGGTTACCATATCATTCTATATATCAGGAGTTTCATATCATCATGAAATACAATGCATACAGGATACTACAAAATTCTTTACAATTATCAAGGCATTAGAGGGAACAAAAAGAATTCAAGGAGGAAAACGTTATGACATTAGAGTACCGATTACAGTACAATTGTTATCAGATATGATAAGTTGTTTAGATGAAGTATGTAAGAATAAATATAAAGCTGCATTATTTTCAGCAGTTGTTTTCTTTGGTTGGATTAGGGTAGGGGAAATCACTACTTATAAAAACAAGTCTGTTATAAATGGCTCCAACTTAACAATTGCTGATATTTTAGTTAAGAAAAAAGTCCTGGAGCTGAGAATAAGGTGGTCAAAAACTGACCAAAAGGGAAAGTCCGTTACTTTATTGATACCTGGGAACAGAAAAAACTTCTGTCCGCTACGACTCATTAACGACTATTTAAAGGTACGAACTACCTGTAACAATAAAGATTTTTTTATACATTATAATGGTATGCCTTTAACTAGATACCAATTCAGCAGTATAATGGAAAAGGCTTTAAATTTTCTGCATATCAGTAAAGGTCATTTTAGGTCACATAGTTTTAGAATTGGGGTTGCCACTAAAATGGCCAGGCAGGGGGTCTCAGAAGAGGTTATTATAATTTTAGGCAGATGGAAATCGCATGCTTATTCTCGGTATATTAGGTTGCAATTTTTCTAGTTAAAAAAGGCTACCAAGCTACAAGTTTTCACAGGTCCCAAGATTTTATGGATTGTTGGAAGTTCCCTTGTTCATTGGGCCAATGTAGAGGCAAGGAAATATGGTAGGACCAACCTTGGACTGCAATCCAAAGGAGTCACAACATACTGGATTAGTCAACCTGGTTTACAGTTAAAAGATTTGGACTCCCTACTGGATGCGAAAAGTACATTTTTACCTTCTCCTAATTTCATGATTATTTATTGTGGAACTAATGATTTGACAGATTTAGAATTGACAGGGAAGGGTTTAATTGAAAACGTAAAATGTTCTATCCTACGTTACCAGGCTTTATTCAAAAATGTTATTATAATCTGGTCTTCAATGCTACAGCGCAGATACTAGCATTTTGCACCCTTAAATGCTGGTCCAATAATCGAACAGAAGAGAAAAAGGGTTAATTCAGTGGTCAAAACTTTGTAATAGAAAATGGGGGAAAGCTATTTTACATGAGAACATTAGGGCAAGTGAAGTGTCTTTATACAGAACAGATGGAACTCATTTATCACAAACTGGAAATCAGGTTTTCTTAAATAATATACGGGGGGTGGGGGGGGGGGGAGTCTTTTCTACGCACAACAAAATCCACTTTTCCACAATGTTTCAATAATCAAAACTTTGTGGAGGTGAGAACCAAAGTAAGATTTGGTAGCTGACTTGGGCTCTCATGTGGCGGTCCAGGGAGACTGGTACTGATTTGGGGATTATTTCACTCGGCCTTTGCTCTGGGCCTGACAAGTTCTACAATTTGCAGGTTTGGAAAATGTGGTAAGTGGTAACGGTGGGGTATACAGATGGATAACTCTGGGACCTCCTCCACCTCATCTTTTAGAGGAGAGGCCTACACCTGCCAACAGTTGGGGTACTATTAGCTGGAGCATTGGTAATACGAGTGTTTTCCTCGGTCACTCCCCATGGTAGGTGGTGGTGTAACCGTGTTTAACTACAGGGGTTTAAGGACACTATGTCAACATAGGTCAGCTGATAGCCATTGTGTATAGGTAATCGGTAGTTACCCTGCCGCCTCAACAAAATGTTATAGAATACGCTGTAGCCAAAGTAATGCCACAAAGTAAAAATGTATATTCTAGTCATGAAAATGTAAATACAAGTTGGTGTAATAAAATGTATGTTTAATTTGAATGATTGTTTTTTGTATAAGTGGTAAAGGCTATCAATAAATAACAGAGGATGGAACCTCTACACAACTGAGTTTTTTATACAGAAAGTCTGTAGTATTTTAATCTTGGTATCTGTGAATTACAATAACAACAGGCAAAGAAAGACAACTTTATAACAATTTTAATCAATTTGTGAAAACATAGTATAGAAAAAACGACAACAACTCTTCATCGTTGTTCTTTATCTCATTGTTATTCGTGCAGTATTACTTTAGGGTCTTCTTCTATGAGTATTGCAATTAATCAGTTCTTACAATATTTTTTGAAATTTCAGTTCGTTTATGTCGTTATTGGTTTGATCCGCTCTTCAACATTTGTATAAGATTTTGAATTTTCAAATATTTTTGCCTCGAGCAATACTGAATAGACATAAATTGTCGAAATGCGCATCTGGTGCATAAAAAATGGTACCGTTTATGTTATTACTACAACTAGGTCTATACCTCTGCTGGTGGAGTGTAGGTCCCCGAGGTTATCACCAGCTCAGTAGCCAGTTCTTCGATACTGGCATGACAATACGGATATTGTTTCATTAAAATTTGCTGTTGTAAAATTTTTGAAACTATATTGAATTTAGGAATATATCTTCCTCATGCAAAGCTCTGATTTCTTGTCCGGACTTGGTTATTCTTAAAGTCGTTATTGGTTTGATCCGCTCTTCAAAATTTGTATAAGATTTTGGATTTTTAAATATTTTGGCCTCGAGCATCAGTGAAGAGACATTACTTGTCGAAATACGGATTTGGTGCATAACATTGGTAGCGTTTATGTTATTCTTACAAATATCATAATAATTTCAGTATAGGATATAGGAATTTTTGCCACAGGATTGATGCATTAGGTTGCAAGGTAACAGCTTTCTGTATTATCCGTTTTAACCAAATTTTGCGATAAGATTGGTTTCCTTTGTTTCATTGATCATATAAGTAGCTCCATATTTTAACAACGGACAACCTACATATGATAATAAAAGGCAGACTTAAGTCAAGTGTGGATAAAGCAAAATAACAGGGTCTTGTGTCCAGATTTTCTTAGAGTTACATTTTGTTCAATAAAAACTTACTTGGACATTTCAGGGTATTGCAATCTTCAAACAAGTTATCCTTGTCAAGTCCATTACATTTTTTGCCACCATGCAAGGGTCGAGGGTTTGTACAATATCTATATCGGTTTCTTTCCCTTAGTCCTCCTCCACAACTACGGCTACACTGAGACCATTCTGACCATGTTCTGAAAGATGACCATCCGCCGTCCACTAAAAATAGAAATAAATGTAAAAACAAAACCAATTTATTCTACATTTCAAATATGTATGTTTTATACGAATCTGGCGTGAACAATGCTTTTGAGGAATAAACCTAGAACTGCACTGTATAGCATTACCATTGTTATTCGTTAAGATCATCTAAATATTTATATTGAAACATTTTTTTTTCTAAATTTGGTTATGGTCTTTCATCTTTCACAATGAAATTTTCTTTCACATACCTGGGCATGGAGTATTCCTGTTGCACCCACGGTGGTATGTGTGCGTCTTTGTTACATGTTTACTACAAGGTTTTCCACCATATTTTGGTCCAATACATTTATTAAATCTGATTCGTTTATGTGATCCACTATTGCACGTTTTAGAACATTCGTCCCAAGCTCCCCAATGACCCCATTCCCAATAGCCATCAACTGAAAAATGTTGGGTTTTTATAATTAGTTAAATGCATTTTAAATACACAAAACAACTGTCTCAAATTAGAGGGACGCTCACAAACATGTTTAACCCCACCACATTCTAAATGCCCGTCCCAAGCCAAGAGCTTGAAATCTAGGGATATTTTTAGGCTGCTTTCTTCCATAATAGTTTTTTGTTTAATTTTTGCAGTATAAATGAGGCTGTTGACTTTCCAGTTTCCAGTTTCCCGTTTTTTTATTTTTTCTATTTTCATCATTGATTAATTGTTCACATGTTTGTCATTTGGTTTTTTGATTGATAGTTGTCTCATTGGCAATTCTGTCGCATTTCCTTATTTTATAATAAAGTAGCCTTTTCAATAGTCGTCTGGCGCGAAAAGGACGATAACTCAATTTTAGAATTTAATATTTTCGGAGACGGTCAATTTCCGGAATTGCATGCTTTATCATCACGGTTTTTTCTTTGGCCGTCGATGACGACACTATTGCTGCATTCTTTGACAATAAGGTATATTTAACAAGACAGTATTATCAATGTATTTATCGTGGTATCAATAAATGTTAGCAATGTTAGATACCTGAATTAATTGTTATTTTGGCAAGGACAATTCATCACTTCCCCTGAAAACATTATTTTGTACAAGTTCACTTATCGGCATCTCCGGGCGGCAAAGCAGACCAATTTCCTGATAATTTTTACTACGGCATTCTGATTTTTATTAATTGCTACATATTACCGTTTTTTTTAAATAATTTTTTTTTGGTTTATATTATCAACAAATAAGAGTAACATACTAGGTCGAGTTGTCGTTCGTAGTGTATAGTTTGTTCCAAACCAGTGTTCGTTTATTGTCAGGTTGGCAGTTGTTTATTAACAATAAAGTTGTTGCAACTAAAACACATGTATTCTTCAGTGTGTGTGTTTTTTTTTCTAATTAGTAATTGTTTATAAAAACAAATTGTTTCTAAATACATTTGGCAGATAGGATTATCATGTAATTGTTGTTTCCCTTGTTTAAAAAATAGAAATTGCGTGTTTCTATATTTAAAGATTTACATGACACTTATTCAGTACATATTTGTTAAATTGAATAGAAATTGCTATTTTGAATTCATTTGTTAAAGATATTTATTTACGTTCTAAAGTTTTAGTATTGCATCCTTGCTAATCATTTATAACCTTCGTTGAAAGACTTAATCATTTTATATAAATTCTTTGGAAATATAATATCGAATTAATAATTAATATTGCCGACCGTGCAAGGGCTGTATAGCCAGTCAAGGTCGTTAAAAACTTCCATTTGTTGTATCGAATTAAATTGTTTAAAAACATTAAAAGGCCCCATGCAGGGCTGACTAGGCGAAGGCTAGCCAGTCAAGGTGGTTTTAAACTTCCATCATCATCGATGATTTGTCTGTGGACTGACGTTCAGTCCAACCATGGGAACCTGTGCTCTTCCAAAATCTCCCTATGAGGTTAGTGCATCTGCCTTATGCGTTCTTAAAACGGATAATTATTGCAGTCATGTCAATTACTTTTGGTCTACATGATACAAATTGTACTTAATAAATTATATATTGTTTTCATATTTTTTTTGTTGGTTTTTTTTTCGTTTTTATTTAAATAGCGCTATTACATTAAGCATCAATCAGTCTTTTTATTTATCATTTCACAAACTAGAACAAGCTGTGGTTCGCATCCCCTGCAGAATTGCTCCATATACATACATGACCCCAACCCCTTTTCTTTTTTGGCTATTAGTAAGAGGGTGACAGGGAACATTGATTCCCAGTTCCCTCCCCAAACTCCTACTTCACTCCGTATTCTGTTCCTCTGCACTCCTATTTTTTCGTCAACATGAATTATCCCAGTTTTATCAACCCTTTCCGCACGGTTAACACCACCCTTACTCCAGCTTTCATCTATCCAATTCCCATTCCCAGCCCTCTCATTCCATAGTTCCCATAATTCTGTCCACCCCTTATCAGTGTCACAATGACTCGCTCCCATTAACAACCCATCATTTGGCCACAAAATATATTATACTACCTGATTTGTTTCCTATATGCAAAAATAAATTCAGTCACTTTTAAAATTTTCTATAGAATAAATTGAAAAAGAATCAGACTTTCATAAACTCAATTGAATTTGAACGTTTCAATGTCTTAAATTGTCATTCTTGCCTATTTATTTGATGGCTCCCTTATTACCCTATAATGAATCTTTTTTTTAAATCCACAAAGATTACATAGCAAATAAATATTAAGGTTTTTTATCAAAGTTTACTTTGCGGTTTCAAAGTGAGGAACTAATTACAAAACATGGGTAAGCAAACTAAATACCTTGAAGATGTTTTAAAAAATAGACTATAGTTGATGAGATAACTCCTCATGTAACAAGATTTATCTCTCCTGTGATTAAAACACATTGAGATTGAGATTGAATTGTCTCCCTTTGATAACAGCTAGTACCAATGCACAATTATTGTTTTTGTGATTTTTTATTGATTAACAATAGTTAAATAAAAGAAAAAGGATAATACTTTCAATTTCGAGGTCTCACAAAAGCTTTTTTACCTGTTATTCTAATTTTACATTAAAAACCCAAATTTAGATGAAAAGGCTAAATAAAGGTACAATGTATACAAATATTTATAAACCAGGTGAATATTAATTACCTTATTTAGAAATCTTGTCATAAGTCTTTAGATGTGAACAAAGTTCTGACCCAAAAAAAGTTTTTGCTACAAGATATCTTTAAAATAAAGTTCTTAATGTAGAAATAATACATTTTTCGGGCTAGATCTTAAAGATGTAAGTCGACATCAAATATATTTTACTGGATTTTGTAAAAATTATAACTTTCACATATAACATAAAACAAAAATTAGTTACTTGGACAGTTTTGTGTATTGCAATCTTGAACGGATTTGTCCAAGGCTGACCCGGAACAGGATTGACCATTACAGCTAGGAGATGGATTATTACAGAGCCTCTTCCTGGTTAGTGTCTGTGTAGGTGATATTGAACCTTCTTTCCTACATTCTGCTGAACAGTTAGTCCCTTTTGTCCATGGTTCCCATGATCCCCATCCACCATTTACTGAAAACCATTTCACTTTACATTTTAATATATAGTAAATGAAATCTATATTCAGCGTAAAGATTGTTCTCAATTTTTATTTTAATAATAGTTTATAGACTTCATTTTTTAATATTTGCTCGGCAAAATACCTTTGTCAAGTGTTGTCTCACAAGAAGAAAAAAATAACAGAAAATAAAAGGTTTATTATTTAAGGTATATTTTGTAGCTGGAGTGTCTTCCTTTATCTTAGATTTTGAAATAGCAGATAGCAATTGATCTAGATCTTTAATGAAATGTGCAAATTTCATGAGTAGTATGTAATTCATCTGAAAGACTTTTGAATGTTTTCTACAGAAAATTATGTGTTTAATCACATTTTACGGCTGTATTTTCCAAAAAAAAATGAATATTTTTGTTTGATTCACTAACTTTGCCACATAAGCAGTCCGGGGCATTTCTTAAACAAAAATAACTTTCAAAATTACCTATATAAGTAATGTTGAAAACGAGGCTATATTAAATATTACTTATATAAGTAAATTTTCTAAATATTGTTTTTATAGGTGTCCATTAATACAAATTTTACTAGCTTTAACAAGTTTTCACAGTCATCTGGTTATTTTTCCCATGAAATATAAAAATTAATCCTCCTGAAACATTAATTGCCTTTCCGACGCACTTATCTTTCATATCGACGCTTCTTTGTCAAAGATTGGTCTCATGGGACTATTAAAATATCATTTTCCTTGAAAATCTTGAAAGTAGACAGATATAAATAGATAGAAACTTGTGATTTGATTAAGACTCAAAGTTATTTATAATTTGTAACCCAAAACAATTACATATGTTCCTTACATATTTGTTATTACTAATTCTTTCATTGATTTATAAAATAACTTATTCAAGTAATATTTTTGTCATTTTTTTTAAAGTAACCTTTTATCTCTATAGTTCTCTCAGATTTAATAGATTCTTAATTTTATGTAATGTAATAAAATGATGTAAAAATTCACGAAAACTACATTTAGTCCATGCTTCTATTGAAATTGAAATATAAAATAACTGATAAGGGGAGATAACTCAGATAAAGTAACTTTTACAGTAGAATGTGTTGTGAATTTCCCTTTTTTTTTTATGTAGCATGAAAACAAGTCCAGTGACCCCATTTTTTTCTTCTTAGCTGAATGCATATTATTAGAGCTATCTTCTCATACTCTATCTTAAAATTCAATGGAATAGTTTTCTTTTTATCACGCGAAATTGGGTTTTACATGCATAATCTATTGACAATTTTGCACAACCTGCAGCATGAAAAAAAAAACCTGTGACCCATACTTTTTATTATATTTTTGAAAAAATAAACTACATTTTGACAAATTATTAAAAAAAATTATGGATTTTAATTTAGACCCCCAATCTACACTATAAGCAATTCAATAAATATCATTGAATTTTGCTGTTTAATGTTTACCTCAATCAGCTGATAATTTCAAAGAACTCCATAATCTACAGACAAAATTCATTTAAATACACACAATGCGGATTTCATCCAAAAAAAAGTAAGAAATCAAAAGTCTTAGAGATGAACTTCAAATAGCTTTTTTGAAAATAATTTCGGAGAAATAATACAAGCTACTTCAGCTTTCTTAAATTTTATCAAATTTTGCAATATATTTCATATATTTGTTGAATATGCATTTATTCTTAAATGTCAAAAATGAAAATTTTGAATTTGATGTTTATGAAACCAGAAATATTATGTTAATATTTTAACCTTATTCAATCACTTTTTATGTTTTTAAAGTTAATTCCAATAAAAATGATTACACCATAACAAATTCATGAAGTTGGTGAGCTTCTTTTGCTGATGAGTATATAAATCTTACTTTTAAGGATTTGTATTATAGAATAGGTACTTTATTTGATTTAGTTTTAAATGTTACCTCGGTACGAATATTAAAAATTATATCAACTGCCATACTGCATGAGTGGGACACCATAAAGTGTCAATTACGGATACACCTTTTATCTTATGTCTAACAAAAAAATTACGACTTGATCTTCACCAAACTCTGACATACATGTATTAATGACAATTCGCAAAATACATTAACTTTTTGTTGAACGAAATGAAATTACTATATATGTTTTCGAAAAAAATATACTATCAAGTCAACTTTAAAAAAAATTGAGCATGGTTATTATTATCTACCCACAAATTATGATAATAAAATCGCTTAACCTATCTTCAAACATTATTGTTTATGTGTAATATAAATATGTGATTATATTTCGTATATTTAACAAGGCAAAAATGGCATCTCCAGGTCAAAGTTGAGCCTCATGATTAGGTTAAATGTATGCCACTCTTTTACAGGTAAATCCAAAAGGTTAACTCGGACATAGAAACAATACGATCAACTCGGCTTCTCCTGTTCCTGTGGTATACAGCGCATCCACGACCTGTCAGAATGATAACGATGAATCAATTGTGTCGTATTTTAATTGACATACTCTCTTCACGTTAAAGAATCATAGCCAAAGCTCATTTAGCGGATCGTTGGTAGCCTGTTGCAAGGCAAAATTTCTGCCCTATCCAAGATAACTTCATTTCAAATGACAACCCAAATTTTCCGCCCTTCATCCCGGTCTGCAAACCATCCAAAACCTACCTATTGTTTTATTTTTTTATTCTGTTTTCGTCCTGAATATGCATTAAATAATTGCCATTTGACGTAAAGTAAGCAATATTCAATCAATCAATTTGGGTGTTTAGCGCTTGGATAATGTCTATTTTGTCCAAAAAGTATGTGCAAAATGGCCAATTTTTAGGAAATATGTCAATTTCAACATGTTTATGACATCAAAGCGATATCAAAAGAAACTATTTTATTATATCTAGCTGTTCGTTTTGCAATACAAAATTAGCATAATTTTGAAAGGCTTGAATCAACTTACTATTACTCCAAGTTAAGGGTAAAAATGGCTCTTATGACATACTCCTTTTAGGCTATATATGCGAATTTCTCGTGAAGGTAATTCTCCCTAAAATATGTACCAACTGGAAAACATTTTTCATTGTTCATAATATTTTCAAAGATCATGAATAGTTTACAAACATTACAACAATAGTTCATGATGACCTGACTTTTTGTGTGATGAAGATCTATACTACATTACCAATATTAATATTTTAAATCAATAATATATTAATATTTTAATATGTACTCACCCTTACAGTAATGTGTGTTACAAGACTTCGATGCCGATATATACGATCGACCAGAGCAGGATTTCCCGTTACAGGCAGGTATCGGGTTGTTGCAAACTCTGTATCGACGTCTAGTCTTGTTAGGGTCTGTGGATGATCCACATGGTTTACATACAGCGGAACACTTGTCCCAGCCACCCCAGGGTTTCCAGCTACTCCAGCCACCATTTACTATAAACAAATATAGGCCCACGAGGCTTAGAAATAGTATTTGATCACGACATAGGAATACACTCAGTTATTCCCAGTTCTTTAACAATGTCTAATCAACTAAAGATGAAATATTTTGTATGATTGTATATCCACAAAAATTGAACTATGAACTTGTGAATTTGATAGGAAAGCATGAGCTTCTTATCTTTTACTTCGTACTTTATTTGGCCTTTTAACTTTGTTTTTATTCGAGCGTCACTGATGAGTCTTATGTAGATGAAAACGCGCTACTGGCGTACAAAATTATAAGTCTGGTAGTTTGGTCGAGGTTTATTCTTTCATCATTCGTGATACAAATTCTACAGTTTTCACCAGGTAACGATAAATATTCCTATAAAGGAGATAGGTATACCTAAAAAGTAAGATGTATTAAGTGACAATCAAAAACCATTTGTCGATGAAATACATACAGTCAACCATTTGCCGAAAAAAGGAAAAAGATAAATTAAGAAACAGCAGTCCACAGAACATTATAGAGTATATATTGATTAAGAAACAGGACTCGACAAAAACAAGGTTTGGACTCAGTTACCCCGTAACGGTAAGCAGTTTCGCTCTACTAGTAATATCTATCGTGTTGCTAAAGTTCGGTAACAATCCAATGGTAAGTAACATTTGGTAAAGAAGAAAGGATAATGTCGAATTTAAGTGAAATAAATATATATGGGTTCTTTTTAGACGTCTATTTAATAGAAGTGTTACCTAATTTTTTTTAGTATAAAATTTCACCTTGGTATGAATTATTGTTTCAAATTCCCTTATTAAGTGTTAACAAGTTGAACAAGTATCAACATGCAGTTAAGAATCCTTTTTTTGTAATATGAATTGTCAGTTTCCTTTTTATCATCGTTTTATCGTACAAATTTATGACTTTATCTTCATATGAACCGTGTATATGTTAAATACATAAAACTTTTTTGTTGAAAAGTACAGATTACTTACCCTTACAGTAATGTGTATTACATGTCGTTGATGATGTGATATACCTTGAACCAGGGCATGCATTCCCGTTACATGCACGTGTCGGGTTGTTGCAAACTCTGTATCGACGCCTAGTCTTGTAAGGCTTTGAATTCGATCCACATGTTTTACATTCCGCAGAACATTTTCCCCAGCTTCCCCAGGGTTTCCAACTACTCCAACCACCGTTTACTATAAACAATAAATAAAAAAAATATATGCCATATACGAGGACTGGACTCGGCATCATGCACGGGCAGCAAAGTATGTCACCTCGAACAAGAAAGGACAGTAAAATTTGTCTAATATCTCTTCATTTAGGCCGTTTTAGTGAATAAAAAGTATTGCACGGAATGCAGAGATAAAAGTGTTATTCACATGAGAAACTTTGCGTACATTATCTGTACAGGCAAAAGTAAAAAACACTCGGTTAATGCATTAAGAAGCGCTGCTGGATTTAACTTCACCAGGAAAGCTCAAACCCAAACATCTGAAAACCAAGGATGTGTATTACCTAAACACGTGAAGAGCTGTGAAAACTGGAGTCTGAGGAGTCAAAATAGGATGAACGGATCATATAAACCCGAAGGCAAATATAATACAAGCCCAAAATAAGGCCGGGTTTATATGATCCGTTCATCCTATTTTGACTCCTCAAAATTCAAGAGTCTATCCTAAATTAAGGTAAATTGTATGGCTTTCCAAATACCGTTTCGATTCCTAACATCACTGAAGAGACATTAATTGTCGAAATCCGGATATGGTGTACAAAAACCTTTGTACCTTTTGTTTGCGGTATACCATCTTTTCCGAAAGTTTATTGTTTTCTGTTTAGTATTAAAATTATAATTAAGATCCATTTATTACATCGGTGATCCGTTTATTTGGCAATCGCCAATTGCAGTCAGTAGGGTTAAATAACATTTGTTGTTCGACCTGTTAGTCAAATGCGTTTTGTTAAAATATACCTTTTCACTTTTTTGGTCTTTTGGAAAATGTTGTTTGTGCTGTAAAATTGATGTTTTTATCCAACGCAATCATAGGTTTGAACGTTGTTTTCAATTTAGACTTGTATATATATATATAGTTTTTATCCAACGCAATCATAGGTTTGAACGTTGTTTTCAATTTAGACTTGTATATATATATATATACAAGTCTAAATTGAAAACAACTTTCAAACCTATGATTGCGTTGGATAAAAACCTCAATTTTTATATGTTTGTATGCAAAACAAATTTCTTGTTAGAAGGGTCTAAATACAGCACAAACAACATTTTCCAAAAGACCAAAAGAGTGAAAAAGTATATTTTAACAAAACGCATTTGACTAACAGGTCGAACAACAAATGTGCTTAAACCCTGCTGACTGCCATTGGCGATTGCCAAATAAACGGATCACCGATGTAATAAATGGATCTTAAATATAAATTTAATACTAAACAGAAAACAATAAACTTGCGGAAAAGATGTTATACCGCAAACAAAAGGTGCAAAGGTTTTTGTACACCATATCCGGATTTCGACAATTAATGTCTCTTCAGTGATGTTTGGAATCGAAACGGTATTTGTATATATATATATATATATATATATATACGTGCGCAAAATTGATTGAGTAATAACTTCTTCTTAAAGTCCAGTGGCAATTATTGCATGCACATTTAGAATGAGAATAATTTAACAAATAAACCAAGAAACTAGTCCGGGAAGAAATTAGGATATATTGCATAAAGTCGGGCAACTTACTTGCAACAGACCACCTATGTACCCCTCAGAGGGTTATTGCAGGGGGTCTTAAACGTGCAGAGAACGTGGTACTCACCAAACACAAAGAATCAGATTTAATAGCACATTCCAACCGGACCTTGCTGCGTATTTAAACATCCCGCAATTCCTAACGGAACTGGTTTTACTGTCGGAACGGAAGAAGTCCAAAGACTGTATTTCTATATCCCCGTCTTTCTTTTGCTAACGTGCTTAAGATGTCGATGCGCAAAATATATACATTTAAAATAAACAAGACATATCTTATATAAAGACATAAAATCGGAAAGAAATGTCTTTGCATTGACTAAGTTTTTGTTTGTTCCATTGACATGTGGCTTCTTAATCGATTTACGAGATGTATTCGTATTATATTCAGAACAAGCATGTTGCTTTGATTGATTTTACACGTATAAGTTTTGTTTTCTTTCTCTGGGTTTGCCTAGATGTTATATATATCATATAATTCAAAATAAAAGGCATATATGATATATATGTCCAACGAACTATTGTCAATTTTTATCGTCTTTTGTTAACAAGCATCCAATTATTCAAAATTTCTCAGTAAAAATGATACAGAAATTGGTTTTTTCGAAGAATTCTGTAACTATATAAGTTATGAATAAAAAGTAATATAAAATTATTAAGATTGATTGGTCCATTGGATTCAGAGGAGATATCTCCTTTGAAATAGTTTGAACAGGACGACAGACGGACGGACAATGGACGCAAAGGGATAAGTAAATATAGAGAAAATACCAAGTTGCAATCAACAAATTTTTGTCGATAAAGTACACACAAACAACACCATCCAAGAAAAAAACCCACACATATACAAACATAAAACATTTTAAAGAACACAAAAGATTCAAAAGATTGAACCCGACCAAAGACTCAGGTGCCCAGTATGGGTAAGTAGTTCCTGCTCCACAAGAGACACAGGTGTTATTCAAGTCAGATCAAACTTCAGTGGTTTGTTTATATTTCGCAATGTTTTAAATGAGGAGATATAAAGTCGAATTTAAAATAAAAAGTCATACATATACTAGTTGCGAACGACAGAATAAGCTGAATAGAAATGTGAATGAAGTTCTAATAAAATCATTTTCATTTTTCAGTAATATAATTTCTTGAACATTTGACACATTTATATTAAATTATTTTTGCATTTTCATGTTTTGTTGTCTGTGAAATGCCTTATTAGTTGTGTCTAGACATAGAAATAAAAATGTATCTCTTAAATCAAAACTACCTTTGCAGTAGGCAGTATTGCAATAGCGAGATGTTGTTTTATAAGATGAACCGTGACAGGTCTTTCCACCACAGCCTGGTGATGGTTTGGTACAAGATCGCCTGCGTTTCAGACTTTGTAGTGGTATAACAGATGACCCACATGTTCTACATGATGCAGAACATCTGTTCCAACTTCCCGAAGTTTTCCAACTACTCCACCCACCATTAACTGTAAAAATAAATCTAAAATTGTGTACATTTGTATGTGTGATTATAGGATTAACAAATGACACTGATTTCAGTTTGCCTTATGTGTTTTTATAACATTTATTGAGTATCCTTTAAACCAAACGTTAAGAGAACACAAAAACCCAAATAATCTAAATTTTTTGTGGTTTTTTTTTTTTTTTTTTTTTTGTATATTTTTTGTTTTCTTTTAGGGTTGTTTTTTTTTTTTTTTTTTATTGTTCTTTTTAAGGGGGCTCCCCCCCCCCCTTTTTTGTTTTGTTTTGTTGTTAATGTTGTGTTTTTTAGGGTGGGGGAGGGGGTAATTATGAAATTTAGTCATTTAAGACTTATATTCAAAGACAAAAGACTGTATGTTTTAACTTGATGTGCAAACTTGCCTTTGCAATAATGTGTGTTACATGATTTGAATGAATAGTGACTTGAAGATCCACGACATGACCTTCCGCCACATGCACGAGATGGATTGTTACAGTATCTGTACCGACGTTGGGATTGTGTTGGGTTAGTATTAGAACCACATTTTTTGCATGATGCTGAACAACTTCCCCAATTTCCATAATACCATTTACTCCAACCACCATTTACTGAAACAAAACATAATAAGATCAGGACAGATATAAGAGTATTTAAGATCATAAAATTAGAATAACAGTAATTATTTAGAAATACTCAAATGAAGCTAGGTTTAAAACTAAGCATCGCATATCACCAACGATATTGATAAATCTCATACTATAAGTAAATTTTCTCAGTTTCGTTGATTAATTATTATAGTTTATTTTTTCTTCAATTTGTATCAACCACTTTTTATATATTTTTATCTTATTATTTACCGTTTGAAATCAAGAGATTCAGCGTCAATAGACTAAACATTCTCTTATGGTTGCGGCCTATTATCTATTTCATGCACGAAGGGATATTTCTCGGATCACACTGACCGAACACTGATATGAATAATTGATACGAACAATGCGTTAATTTGGTTCGTTTATCCTTTAATTTGTTATAAAATTGCGTAATTTCCATTGGCTATTGGTTAGGTTTATGATTACTTTCGAAAATGACATTTCCTCCTTTGAAACGGACATTTGTGATTTCTTCAATAATATACATAAATTCACATGTTTCACTTGAAATATTCTGTTTGTCCCATTTGAATCTATTCTGAAGCTTACAAAAAGCATGAATACGTCCAATGTTTACAGTAATCTGGGTCCCTGGGCAGTATTTTCAATACCGTAAGCGGACTTTTATAGTTTTGAAATCAATAATTACATTTTTTGTAGTTTAATTCAAAGATAATTATTTATATTGACAATTATCTTATACAGTTTCGAGTTATTTCAATGATGTAGAGTCACCAATATCTTGTGTTGATATCGAATAATTAATCGATTGGTCTATGTGTTCTTATTTCCTTATTTGCAACTTGTTTGACCTATGATGGTGTAGAATTGTTTGACCTACGATGGTATACGTAAGAAAATGTTACTGAAATATGTAGATTTAGGAAAAAAGCAAAATAATCGTGTTTGATCCACATGGTTTACATACAGCGGAACACTTGTCCCAGCCACCCCAGGGTTTCCAGCTACTCCAGCCACCATTTACTATAAACAAATATAGGCCCACGAGGCTTAGAAATAGTATTTGATCACGACATAGGAATACACTCAGTTATTCCCAGTTCTTTAACAATGTCTAATCAACTAAAGATGAAATATTTTGTATGACTGTATATCCACAAAAATTGAACTATGAACTTGTGAATTTGATAGGAAAGCATGAGCTTCTTATCTTTTACTTCGTACTTTATTTGGCCTTTTAACTTTGTTTTTATTCGAGCGTCACTGATGAGTCTTATGTAGATGAAAACGCGCTTCTGGCGTTCAAAATTATAAGTCTGGTAGTTTGGTCGAGGTTTATTCTTTCATCATTCGTGATACAAATTCTACAGTTTTCACCAGGTAACGATAAATATTCCTATAAAGGAGATAGGTATACCTAAAAAGTAAGATCTATTAAGTGACAATCAAAAACCATTTGTCGATGAAATACACACAGTCAACCATTCGCCGAAGAAAGAAAAAAAGAAAAATCAAGAAATAGCAGTCCACAGAACATTATAGAGTATATATTGATTAATAAACAGGACTCGACAAAAACAAGGTTTGGACTCAGTTACCCCGTAACGGTAAGCAGTTTTCGCTCTACTAGTAATACATATCGTGTTGGTACAGTTCGGTAACAATCCGATGGTAAGTAACGTTCGGTAAAGAAGAAAGGATAATGTCAAATTTAAGTGAAATAAATATATATGGGTTCTTTTTAAACGTCTATTTAATAGAAGTGTTACCTAATTTTTTTAGTATAAAATTTCACCTGGGTATGAATTATTGTTTCAAATTCCCTTATTAAGTGTTAACAAGTTGAACAAGTATCAACATGCAGTTTAGAATCCTTTTTTTGTAATATGAATTGTCAGTTTCCTTTTTATCATCGTTTTATCGTACAAATTTATGACTTATATCTTCATATGAACTGTGTATATGTTAAATGCATAAAACTTTTTTGTTGAAAAGTACAGATTACTTACCCTTACAGTAATGTGTATTACATGTCGTTGATGATGTGATATACCTTGAACCAGGGCATGCATTCCCGTTACATGCAGGTGTCGGGTTGTTGCAAACTCTGTATCGACGCCTAGTCTTGTAAGGCTTTGAATTCGATCCACATGTTTTACATTCCGCAGAACATTTTCCCCAGCTTCCCCAGGGTTTCCAACTACTCCAACCACCGTTTACTATAAACAACAAATAAAATGTATGCCATATACGAGGACTGGACTCGGCATCATGCACGGGCAGCAAATTCTGTCGCCTCGACCAAGAAAGGACAGTAAAATTTGTCTAATATCTCTTCATTTAGGCCGTTTTATAAATAAAAAGTATTGCACGGAATGCAGAGATAAAAGTGTTATTCACATGAGAAACTTTGCGTACATTATCTGTACAGGCAAAAGTAAAAAACACTCGGTCAATGCATTAAGAAGCGCTTTCTGGATTTAACTTCACCAGGAAAGCTCAAACCCAAACATCTGAAAACCAAGGATGTGTATTACCTAAACACGTGAAGAGCTGTGAAAACTGGAGTCTGAGAAGTCAAAATAGGATGAACGGATCATATAAACCCGAAGGCAAATATAATACAAGCCCAAAATAGGCCGGGTTTATATGATCTGTTCATCCTATTTTGACTCCTCAAAATTCAAGAGTCTATCCTAAATTAAGGTAAATTGTATGGCTTTCCAAATACCGTTTCGATTCCTAACATCACTGAAGAGACATTAATTGTCGAAGTCCGGATATGGTGTACAAAAACCTTTGTACCTTTTGTTTGCGGTATACCATCATTTCTGAAAGTTTATTGTTTTCTGTTTAGTATTTAATTTATAATAAAGATCCATTTATTACATCGGTGATCCGTTTATTTGGCAATCGCCAATAACAGTAAGCAGGGTTTAAGAACATTTGTTGTTCGACCTGTAAGTCAAATGCGTTTTGTTAAAATATACTTTTTCACTTTTTGGTCTTTTGGAAAATGTTGTTTGTGCTGTATTTAGACCCTTCTAACAAGAAATTTGTTTTGCATGCACACATATAAAAATTGAGGTTTTTATCCAACGCAATCATAGGTTTAAACGTTGTTTTCAATTTAAACTTGTATATATATATATATCCAGATTTAATAGAAGAAAGTTCAATTTATTTCAAAAATGGAAAGCATTTCACAGTTAAACAAAATATGTCTTGTAAAAGTTCAAACGTCATTTATTCTCTCATATGTTCAAATTGTGAGGAATTCTATATTGGAGAGACAAAAACAGAACTGCAGACTAGAATGACTGTACATAGACAGCAAACCAACCATGAAGATTTAACAATCATCAGGGCTAACGACCATTTCCATCGTTGTTCTAATGGACGATTTAAAATATTTCCGTTGTATATGGTCAATCGTCAAAATGATTTTCTCCGGAAGAAGAAAGAAGAATTATTCATAAACATTCTCAACCCGGGATTAAATGATAAATAATATTTTATTTTTACGAAACATTTTAAAGACTTTGCTCCAATTTTTAAAATGACATTAGTAGTCTCCCTTGTATTTGTTAACGTCATACTAGTGTTAACGTCAATCAATTGTTTTATAACATTTATGTATACAAGTCACATTACCTGAAGATCTGTGAAAGCAGTGAAAGCGCTAGTAAAAGTGATGAATTGAAACCGTCATTATCTTATATTAATTTTCTTATATATATATATAATATTATTTATAAAATCTATTTTGTTACATCTTGTGATCCGTTTATTTGGCAATCGCCAATGGCAGTAAGCAGGGTTTAAGAACATCAGTTGTTCGACCTGCTAGTCAAATGCGTTTTGTTAAAATATACTTTTTTCACTCATTTTGGTCTTTTGGAAAATGTTGTTTGTTCTGTATTTAGACCCCTCTACAAAGAAATTTGTTTTGCATGCACACGTATAAAAATTGCGGTTTTTATCCAACGAAATCATAGGTTTGAACGTTGTTTTCAATTTAAACTTGTTTATATTTTTTCGTTTGGGCTTGTATTATATTTGCCTTCGGGTTTCTATGATCCGTTCATCCTATTTTGACTCCTCAAAATTCAAGAGTCAATCCTAAATTGAGGTAAATTATGTGGCCTACCAATAACCGTTTCGATTCCTAACATCACTGAAGAGACATTAATTGTCGAAATCCGGATATGGTGTACAAAATTTTGCACCTCATGTTTGCGGTATACCATCTTATCCGCAAGTTTATTGTTTTCTGTTAAGTAATAAATTATTTAAAAGATCTATTTTGTTATATCTTGTGATCCGTTTTTTTGGCAATCGCCAATGGCCGTAAGCAGGGTTTAAGAACATCAGTTGTTCGACCTGCTAGTCAAATGCGTTTTGTTAAAAATATACTTTTTCACTCATTTTGGTCTTTTGGAAAATGTTGTTTGTTCTGTAAGAAACTAGTCCGGGAAGAAATTAGGATATATTGCATAAAGTCGGACAATTTACTTGCAACAGACCACCTATGTACCCCTCAGAGGGTTGTTGCAAGGGGTCTTAAACGTGCAGAGAACGTGGTACTCACCAAACACAAAGAATCAGATTTAATAGCACATTCCAACCGGACCTGGCTGCGTATTTAAACATCCCGCAATTCCTAACGGAACTGGTTTTACTGTCGGAACGGAAGAAGTCCAAAGACTGTATTTCTTTACCCCGTCTTTCTTTTGCTAACGTGCTTAAGATGTCGATGCGCAAAATATATACATTTAAAATAAACAAGACATATCTTATATAAAGACATAAAATCGGAAAGAAATGTCTTTGTATTGACTAAGTTTTTGTTTGTTCCATTGACATGTGGCTTCTTAATCGATTTACGAGATGTATTCGTATTATATTCAGAACAAGCATGTTGCTTTGATTGATTTTACACGTATAAGTTTTGTTTTCTTTCTCTGGGTTTGCCTAGATGTTATATATATATATCTTAAATTCAAAATAAAAGGCATATATGATATATATGTCCAACAAACTATTGTCAATTTTTATCGTCTTTTGTTAACAAGCATCCAATTATTCAAAATTTCTCAGTAAAAATGATACAGAAATTGGTTTTTTCGAAGAATTCTGTAACTATATAAGTTATGAATAAAAAGTAATATAAAATTATTAAGATTGGGCCATTGGATTCAGAGGAGATATCTTCTTTGAAATAGTTAGAACAGGACGACAGACGGACGGACGATGGACGCAAAGGGATGGTAGATATAGAGAAAATACCAAGTTGCAATCAACAAATTTTTGTCGATAAAGTACACACAAACAACACCATCCAAGAAAAAAAAATATACAAATATAAAACATTATACAGAACACAAAAGATTTAAAAGATTGAACCCGACCAAAGACTCAGGTGCCCCGTATGGGGAATTAGTTCCTGCTCCACAAGGGACACAGGTGTTATTCAAGTCAGATCAAACTTCAGTGGTTTGTTAATATTTCGCAATGTTTTAAATGGGGAGATATAATGTCGAGTTTAGAATAAAAAGTCATACATATACTAGTTGCGAACGACAGAATAAGCTGAATAGAAATGTGAATGGAGTTCTAATAAAATCATTTTCATTTTTCAGTTATATAATTTCTTGCATATTTGACACATTCATATTAAATTATTTTTGCATTTTCTTGTTTTGTTGTCTGTGAAATGCCTAATTAGTTGTGTCTAGACATACAAATAAAAATGTATCTCTTAAATCAAGACTACCTTTGCAGTAGGAAGTATTGCAATAGCGAGATGTTGTTTTATAAGATGAACCGTGACAGGTCTTTCCACCACAGCCTGGTGATGGTTTGGTACAAGATCGCCTGCGTTTCAGACTTTGTAGTGGTATAACAGATGACCCACATGTTCTACATGATGCAGAACATCTGTTCCAACTTCCCGAGGAATACCAACTACTCCATCCACCATTAACTGTAAAAAAATATCTAACATAGTGTATATTTGTATGTGTGATTATAGGATTAACAAATGACACTGATTTATGTGTGCTGTATGTGTTTCTCCTAGCATTTATTGAGTATCCTTTAGACCAAAGTTTAAGGAAGACAAAAAACACAAATAATCTTAATTTTTGTGTTGTTTTTTTTTTGTTTTTTGTTTTTTCTATTTTTTTGCTTTCTTTTAGGGTTGGTTTTTTTCGGTTTTTTGTTTTTTGTTGTTTTTTTTTTAGTGGGTGGTTTATTTTTTCCCGTTTTGTTTTGTTTAGGATTTGTTTGTTTTTTTGAAAGGGGGAGGGGTAATAATCAAATTCAATCATTTAAGACTTATTTTAAAAGACTGTTAAGTTTTAACTTGATGTGAAAACTTGCCTTTGCAATAATGTTTGTTACAGGATTTGGATGAATAGTAACTAGAAGATCCATGACATGACCTTCCGCCACATGCTGGAGATGGATTGTTACAGTATCTGTACCGACGTTGGGATTGTGTTGGGTTAGTTTTAGAACCACATTTTTTGCAAGATGCTGAACAACTTCCCCAATTTCCATAATACCATTTACTCCAACCACCATTTACTAAAATAAAACATAATAAGATCTAGGACAGATATAAGAGTATTCAAGATCATAAAATTAGAATAACGGTAATTATTTAGTAATACTCAAATGAAGCTAGGTTTAAAACTAAATATTGCATATCAGCAACGATATTGATAAATCTCATACTATAAGTAATTTTTCTCAGTTTCGTTGATAAATTATTATAGTTTATTTTTTCTTCAATTTGTATAACGTTTGAACCACCACTTTTTATATGTTTTGTTCTTAATATTTACCGTTTGAAATCAAGAGATTCAGCGTCCTATTATCTATTTCCTGCACGAATGGATATTACTCGGATCACACTGACCAAACACTGATATGAATAATTGATACGAAAAATGCGTTAATTTGGTTGGTTTATCCTGCAATTTTTTATGAAATTGCGAAATTTCCATTGGCTATTCGTTAAGTTTATGATTACTTTCGAAAATTACATTTCCTCCTTGGAAACGGACATTTGTGATTTCTTTAATAATATACAATACATTCACATGTTTCACATGAAAATATTCTGTTTGTCCCATTTAATTCTATTCTGAAGCGTACAAAAAGCTAGAATACGTCAAATGTTTACAGTAATCAAGGTCCCTGGTAAATACCGTAAGCGGACTTTTATGTGAAATGAAGCGCTGCATGTACTTGCAAAATCGAAAATAGTTCACCCCTACGACAAAGATAACTTTTATCATGAGGACTATAGGTTTAACAACTCGTGAAAATTGGATATAGCTTGATATCAACGCTCGTTAATTGATTTTAATAATAATTATAAAGTCGCGAGCGTTTCGTTTATTTTATAAATAAAATCAAATAACTCGAGTTGATATCAAGCGATGTCCAATTCTATAGTTTTGAAATCAATAATTAGTTTAATTCAAAGACAATCAGTTTTATTGACAATTATCTCAAACAGTTACGAATTATTTCAATTATGTAGAGTCACCAGTATCTTCATGGATTGGTCTATTTGTGCTTATTTCCATAGTTTCAACTTGTTTGACCTACGATGGTGTAGAATTGTTTGACCGACGATGGTATACGTAAGAAAATTCTACTGAAATATATAGATTTAGGGAAAAAGCAAATTAATCGTGTACATTGCTTGTTAACTGCTGAAAACAACTAAGTGAGACTCAGACAGCAAATCGATTCAAAATAGTTTTAAACTTGCTTTGTTTTTAGATTAACTGCAAATAGAAAGCAATGTTACATATGCCGTCTCACTTTTTTGAGTTTGAAATATTGCAATCAAACTGACACTAATTGATAGGTCAAAGATTTTGAAAAAGGGATGCTTGTTTTATGTTTTGTTAAACGTGAAATAAATATCATGTTAGTTTACACGGTGCATGGACCGAAAGGACTTCCATTTGACGGTATAAACATATAAATAATAAGTCTTTCCTTGATACTTACTCCATCGATTATAATTTCAAATTTTCATCACGATGACCATAGCATTTAAAAACAAAGAAATTGCCGTAAATAAGCTTATCTTTCGCCAATAAAATTCTAGTAGAATTTCCAAAGTATTTTATAGAAGCATGTCCTTAATAACTTTTATTACTAACTTGTTATCAATCATTATTAAAATAAAGCTTAATAAAGGCAGTCCTATTAAATAAATTATTTTAATTAAATTGTTTTTTTTTATATATCTCTGTTTGGTATACCTTTACAAGAATGGGTATTGCAATTAGAAAATGTGTATCCATAAGCAGATCCACTGCAGGAACGTCCTCCATTACTAGGACGTGGTCTTGTACAAGTTCGGTATTTATAGTATTTCTGCTGTGGATACTGGGATGACCCACATTTCCTACATGATGAAGAACAACTACCATATTTTTTCCAAGATCCCCACGCACTCCATGAGCCATGAGCTGAAATAGTTAAAAACAAATAATTACATTACATGTATGTTTCATTAGAATCCTTTATTTTGATTGACTAACAGCAATCGTGAGACACTCGAATTTCAAATCTTATTTCCGTATAAACAACTGTGACTGCACGTGCTATCCATGGCAATTTTGGCATAAAAATGCATAAGAAAGCTTAATATGCCAATTAATTTCATGGTAGTAGCATAAAAATTTGATTATATTAATTGAATGCTTCTTTTTAACAAAATGTGCTTCGGTCAATGCTTTTACATTCCAAAATTGTAAAACGAAGCATTCAATTCTTAAATAATTACATTACGTGTATGTTTCATTATTATCCTTAATTTTGATTGGATGACAACAATGGCGAGGCACTTCAATAACATTTTTTATCGTATAAAATACAACAGCTATGACTGTACGTGCTATTTTCATTGGCAGAGAATATCATGTCCTTCTCAAAATTAAGCCAGATATCCCTTTGAAAAATAAAAAAAAACATACAAAGCAACACTAACTCTATAAATTCACCACAAAAAGAAAACAATCATGTGCCTGTCCCAAGTCAGGAGCCTGTAATTCAGTGGTTGTCATTTTTTGCTGTATATCATATTTGTTTGTCGTTCTTTTTTTTGTACATAAATCAAGCCGTTAGTTTCTCCTTTGAATTGTTTTACATTTGTCATTTCGTGGTCTTTTATAGCTAATTATGCTCATTGTTGAAGGTCGTACGGTTTACAAAGTTAGGAATATGACAGTTATTTTCCATTCGTTTGATGTGTTTGAGCTTTTGATTTTGCCATTTGATTAGGGACCTTTCGCTATGAATTTTCCTTGGAGTTCGGTATTTTTGTTATTTTACTTTTTTCTAAGTAGTCGCACTACTTTATCCCTAGCCTGTCAACGCTGAGGTTGTGAGTTTGAATCCCGCACATGGCAGGTGCGCTCGACTTTAATCTTTAAAATGACTAGGATTGTCAGGTTTCCTATACGTGCTATATATATCCGTGACAATGTTAACATAAAACATGCATTTAAAAACAAACGAAAAGCTTGATAGAATACAGGTTTCATGGATTTACCATAACAATGTGATTATAAGAATTGAATGCTTCTTTTTATAATTTTATAAGGTTGTAAAAGCGTTGATCGTGCGCACATTTTAATATGCTTTTTCACCACAATAAAATATAAAATAAGTCGAGAAATAAACGACAAAAATACCAGATCATTGACAATTATACAACATCTTCTTATTTTTTTTAAATCAAAGAGACACTTAGATTATCACACACTTTGAATATATATATATCGGTTAGATTTAAGTAAACGAAAAAAGTTCATAGCCATCTTTACACATATGCAGCTGATATTTTGTTTATAAATATATAAAGATTTGTAACAAATCAAATATGAGTTTCATTCCGTTGACCGACTTTTGATCCAATTAATGCCAATTGACTTTAAAAATTTCATAAATAAAGCATTGTCTCCACCATAGTCAGCCTACAGAGAGTAAACTCACAATTTGCATATGATAGTATACCGAGTAAATATATATCATATGTCAGTTTTACCTTGACCGATATAACTTCATATAATACTCAGAAAATTTAAGGAAAATGGTATTGTTTATTACTTTTAAACCACCATTGGAGATATTATGATGGTATCTGGATAGTAATAGCGGCATGAGAACTTACAGACAGCATTTGAATTTTGTTGCACTTGACTTTCAATTAATTAATATCATAATTGTTTATCAATTGGAAGTCAAGTGTTAAGTTTTAACGTTAGAAATCAGTTGGCATACACCATATATATCTTTTTTCACAATACTCTTATATTTAGACGAAATATCGATATTATATGACAGCCCTTTTTTATTGCTACTAGTCAGCAGCACTATTTACCAGATATTTTCTTGTGTAAAAATAATATTCAGTATTGTCCATTCACAGAACGGGTGTAAAAATGAACAACTATATACAAAGAGAGGTTTCAGTTTTCTCCAGTTTTTCTATTGTACATGTCTGCTATGAAATCACAGCTGTCGTTTCCGTGATATTGTGCAAGTAATTTCGACAAAATGAATTCAAATATAACAAGAACGATATTAAATCTCTTACTACGAAGTATATATCTATATACGTATCCAATACTAGTTCAATATATGTAAGGAGAGTCGAAAGAAGAAGCCGATTTTTTTTTAATTATTTAGGGGGTTTAGAGAAATTTGTTTGAGAAGGTAACGACGACAGCCGAGAAACAGAGGTGATGAAAACCGTTCCCTATTCCTTTTGGTGTCATATAAGGTACAACTTTTTTAATTATATAAAATAGTTCAATTCTGATAGGCCGTGACTTATTAGGTAAAAAGTGTAAGTAATTAAATTATGTATATAACAGTGTTGATATTACAATAACTCTCGATCAGGTGAAATTAACTAAGTTATAAACAATTAATTAAAAACTTAATTAAAAACTTATATATTATTTTTAATATACTTACTGCATTTCTGGGATGAAGACGTTGAAATCTGACGTCCGTAGGATCCACATCTACAACAGTTGCTACTGGAAGAGCCACATTTGTTGTATCTATATCTTTTCCGGTATGGATTAGAACTGGGGTATGGACAACTACCCCAGCTTCCCCATGATCCCCAACCACTCCAACCATAGTGGCCTAAATATAAACACACAGATCATACTTCAACATAAACCGGTGTTACAAAATAAAAGTAAAACGTGCAACGATTTTGATATGATTTAATTCTAAATTTTATTGAAATCAAAACATTTGATCCTTTGAATCATACTTTCTTTTTCTATTCGTGTTTCATTATTTGTTTCGTTCTTTTTTATTCATAGGTTGCCACAGTCTTATTTGGCACAACTTCTCGGAATTTTCGGTGTTATATGATCTTTAACTTTAGAGATAACTGTATTGTATTTGAAGTTTTGCGGACGTTCATCGGTAGTTTTACTGTCGCAAATTTAATTTACCTGGCGACGCGTAGCGGAGACAGGTAAACGGATATTTGCGACAGTAAAACTACCGATGGACGTCCGCAAAGCTTCAAATAGAATACAGTTATCTCTATTCTAATGCAAAATAAACAAATCATTCAATTTTAGTTATTATTTCACTGTAAAATATTCATTAAACGAAAATTCCGCAAAATGATGTTATCTTCTTTGGCGCCTAAACTAGGTGACGTCATAGGTATGCTTCCGGCATCAAAGTTTTTAACGTAAACACCGGACGTTTTCTGGCTTCTTGTCCACTTCAGAATGTAATTAAACTGGATAGAAAGTAGATTTCTAGGTGCAAAATGTGAGTTTTTTTTGTAATCCAATCAGAACCATTGATAGAAAAATAATTGCATTAGAAATTCTTATTTGATTTTATCGCACCGCGGGTAAATTATTACGTTGTGATTGGTTTTAACGCCGTCACGTGGTGACCCCCTATGGATTCGTAGGGGGTTGGTAAATTTCTTAGTGGTTTCATGACGTCACGGCTACTGTTAATGGTGACGTCATCTATTGATGTTTTTGTATTTCATTGTTTATTTTTCTACAAACGCTGCAGAAAAAGTATCGCGTGCGATAAATTCGTTATACGGTTCACTACTGATCCCCTACAGACCATAGGGGGTGAATAAAATCCATAGGGGATTCGGCCTTTGGCCTCATCCCTATGGATTTTACTTACCCTCTATGGATCCGTAGGGGGTCAGTAGCGAACCATATAACTTATATTGTCTTCCAAATGTTTTGATTTGAGCTCTACTGATGAGTAATATGTAGACGAAAGAGGGTCTGGCATACAAAATTATAAGCCTGGTATCTTTGATGGGTTTGTTTATGATGGAAACGCAATTTAGTTACAAGTTTAACGTAGATGCAAACATCTTGGTAAAGAAGGGATAAATCATACTTAATATTATTAAAATAATAAATCTGAAACAGACATTACCAAAGATAAGATGTTTTAAATGACAACACGTTTGTTACGTTTAGATGATGTGTTTTTCAACAAACATTCGGTAATCCTATGGGAACTAACTATACTCCTCTTCCTTTTGACTTGTTCCTCATTTTATTTGATGCAGACTACTGTCCTGAGTCAGGAGCCTGTTGTTCAGTGGTTGTCGTTTGTTAGTGTGGTTCATAAGTGTTTCTCGTTTCTCGTTTTTTATATAGATTAGACCGTTGGTTTTCCTGTTTGAATGGTTTTACACTAGTCATTTTGGGGCCCTTAATAGCTTGCTGTTCGATGTGAGCCAAGGCTCCGTGTTGAAGGCCGTACTTTGACCTATAATTGTGAACTTTTTATACATTGTGACTTGGATGGAGAGTTGTCTCATTGGCACTCATACCACATCTTCTTATTTATATTTACAAACAAGAGCTGATCGGGATAAATGAAAATAAGCTAGCCTTACCATTCAACTTCACGTTCACATGTAAAAATGATGTCCTCTCACTAAATAGTTAAAAGATAGATGACTATGTTGAACGCATCTATCCCATCAAACTTGAAATAAATGATACCTCTTTCGCCTCTCTTTTTCAATCTAGAAGGGGTCTTTTTTACATTTACTGACATCGCAGTGTAAATATGAATGGTACACTTTAATCGATATCATTTAAGATTAACAAATGAGAATGTGAGACTTATACCTATACTTCGCAAGATAATTTAGAAAAAACTACTTTTGAAAACTTACTTGGACAAGATTGATATTTGTAGCAAGTACTCTTGACATATTTGTTGAAGTAGCTGAAATATCAAAAGTAATTTGAATCACTGATATTTAAATTATTACGGGCTTTTAAGGTTAAAAGTTGACACTATATGAATGTATATTAACATTTCCTTGGTTACTAATTTTGCTCGTATAAAACAGATTCTTAATGAAAAGAAGAAAAAGGAATCAAAATCCTGTAGTTTCAATTTCAGATATAATAACGATGTCATTTATCTAAATAATCTTTATTTCAGTAAGGGACAACATCTCCTATGTCTTTGTGAACTAAAAGTTAAGGACACTACAGACAGAAGAAGGCCCGCTTCATTTCTAGATCGTTTTCTTGAAATTTACACTAATGGACATCTGAAAATACGGATATTGTGTTATTAAATTTTTCTTTTACAAAATTTTTGAAATTATTTTAAATAAAGGAATATATCTCCCTCGCGCAAAGCTCTGATTCCTTGCCCGGCTTTTACTATACCTTTTGTCTTTTTTTGGTTATCAGCGCTTCATTTTTTTCATAAGTTTGAATTTTCAAACATTTTTGCCTCGGCCAATAAGGAAGAGATATTTATTGTCGAAATGCGCATCTGGTGCAGTAAAATTGTTATCGTTAATGTTATAAAATTACTAACTCGATCAGTTGGGGTTTCTTATTGCTATTTTTGTATTCTTGAGAAGTAATATATCTTCTAAGACACGAGCAACAAAACGAGTATTAAATGTGAAGAAGGGTCTGCTTACATTTCCTGAGAACCTGAGTTCACACCCGAGTTTTGGTTGGGTTCGTGTTGCTCAGTCTTTTTGAAACGTTCTGTGGAATGATGTTTGTCTTTTCGTCGTTTTTAGTTTTTTGCAACGGTATTTTTCTTCGACTTCTTTGACAAGTGCTAAGGTTGCCTTTGTAAACTAATTGATATTTACATGGTTTATTATTTTGTTTGTTCTTTGACTGCAAAAGTTTTGCCTGAATATATTTATCTAAAAATCAACTCAATCTGCTATTTTAAATTTTTACATATTTTTGTTTTGAATATACCCATGGATCATTGTTGGAGGATTTTTTGACAACCTTTTATAAAATAACACGGCAAAACTAAATATGAAACAATTCTAAAGAGAAAAGGCCTGATTTATGCAAAAAACAAGTATGACAGACAGCAATTAAAGACAACATCTAAAATATAGGCTCCTGACTTGAAATAGGCATATGAAAAGCCTCGTTTTTTACTTTAAAAAATGTGTTCCCTATTTAAGACGTCGTAAAAGAATGCAGGTTTGCAGAATTTTACATCGTCCGCTTCAAATTCAAAATTGTTGGTTTCTGTCCAAAATTATTCATTTAGAACAGTTTTAGGAGTTGCAGTACAAAGAAAAAAAAAACAATACATTGTCTCGAAATACAAATGTTTGAGTCTCGGCTCGAATCAGGATAGAATGTTCGGAACATCCTCGCAACCTAACTGTTTCTTAGCCTCATACAAACAAAGGAGTTGGTTCGATTAGGCCCAAAATATGGTCCTTGTTTCCAGCTATAATTTCAAATAAGGATTTATTGATTCATTATCATAATGAATTATAGCATGATACACATGATAAAAATGTTGATACGAACAAAAAGAGTCAACTCTTATCCTCCTGCTTTTCCATGTACATCTATTACTTCGAATATGAAAATTTAGCATATAGAAAAATTTCCTGGAATATCCCTTGTATACATATGCAAAGTGGTCTACAACTGCTTTAGAAGTTTAAGGAAAGCATTTTCTGCATATCCCCAACAATTATAGAAGATCCAAATTTTACATTCACAGCAAAATCCCTTAAATTATCAAACCAATAATTATTTGGATACTTTCACCTTTATTTTCATATTATTAAACACAACTGAATTATTGAAACTATCTAGAAGATTTGCGCCTCAGATATAATAAGGATTAATATAATTTTGAAATTTATTTATATAATATTTCGTACATACACGACAGTGCATCATAAGCCTCTAAAGGCTGGTTGGTATAAATATACATGTTTATTGACTATATACGTATGTTTAAAATTGTATTTCATGTACAAGTACCAAGTTGTACTCAAAAATAAAAATATCTATCAATCTATAGCACATACAATAACTAGATAGGAAATAGGTCTTTTTTGTTGTAAATTCAATGAAATTTACTTTGCAGTGTGCTTTTAAAATAACGTCACGAGTATCACAAAATTAGATTTTCCAAGAAATTCAATGAACACAGATACTGCGCGTACGTCGACAAAAAAGATCTTTTGACTATTTTTTTGTTATAATAAATTACATACATTTATCTGACTTGATGTGTCGAACCCTGCGCTCTGTGTTTTGCTAGACCTTAACGTGGTTGAAATTCAGACGACGATTTTGTTCACTTTCACCAAAATCTCAATTGTTGGCATGTTTCAGATGTAAATGTAAACGCTTTAGAAGAAAATCTGAGCAAAAATATTTAAAAATACTTTTTTACATGTCTATTCATCAACATGGAACACTTTTTAGTTTGAAATAATGTACTTATTATTCGGGGCCAAATATTAACCTTACAAAACGTACTCCTTTTATATTTTAAGACAATGTATAAAAGTTATTCTTTATAAATGAGAGTGTCCGGACTTTCCAAACGGCTGATGTTTGCATTTAACACAAACATGCATAAAAAGTTGTTATAAAGGGGTTATAATAATAGACAATTAAAAACTGCAGTGGAATATCCAAGTCGAAAGATAGATGTACAAGTTACAATGATTAGAATATAACCATTGATCATTGAAAGATCTGATGTTACTAATGTATTCTTTTTATTTTCTGCTGGAGTATCTCAAACAAGCAAAAGTGTCCTGATAAAATGACGATTTTTTTAATATTTTGCATTTGCCGTAAATAGATTTCTCAATAGATGTTTAATGAGAGTATATGTACATACATGTAGCACTAAATTACTTGATATAATAGCTATCGTTCATGCTTACGTCACATGTCTCTGACATCTTCTCCGCCGCCACCAACTACCACATGAATAGTAGTGAGTCTTTTTTCTCTGTTGAGGCTTGTTACAAGTATAACTAGTCTTGTATTTCGCTGTGCATCGTCCCTCACTAAAATGAAGAGTATTAGCATTATGATGATCATTTTTTTTAAACGTCTAGAGGTACGGTTTGGCTTTCTAAAGTATACGAAAAAGGCAAACTATATAATACTTCAGCCCTTGAATGGTGTAAACTTAGCAATAAAACTTGTAATGTGTAATAGAGAAGAGTGTATGATGCAATGGGGTATGGTTAATGTGTAATGGAGAACGATGTATGGGGTTTACGACTTCGTAAATAGTTCTGTTTTTTTTTTCAAACCATGAAATCTGGAATGCAATTGTATGTCTTCTCTGAAAATACATTGTATTTTTGAACTGTGCAATATCGTGTAAGATTCAACTGGAAAAGGATAATGAAGTTTTGTGTATTTGTATGCTGCAATGGGAATGGTATAAAGTGTAATGGGGAATAGTGTAAGTGGAAAGTTTACACGGATAACCAATCCATTGTACAGCTGTCTGGGAAAGCGGTGAAAGCTTCATACTCCTTAGTCGTCCATTATACTTTCTATGAACATTTGCTTTACTGTTCGGTAATATTTCATTAGATACGAAATACAAATTGACGAGAAATAACTAATTGTTATTCTGATCATGTAAAGTTTGTGATCAAAACGTTTCAACATGAATTTTTGAACAATTTTATCTGTTCCTATATTTTTATTGCTGACTCAATATGTGCACCAGTAATGTAAAACTACATTTTGCAGAAGCATCACAGATTGATGCAAAGTTGAATCTGGGGTCAGTTAATGGCACAGCAGTTTCAAGGGAGGAGGTTTAAAAATAAACGATAAAGACGCAAAAGGATAACAATAACTCACACTGACCCTTTTGGTTGCGTTAGCTTATATTAGAATTATACAAGATAAAATCACGTTGTTCTATCACTGTTAAAAATTTCATCAATACCCGTTTAACGCTTTATGAGGAGTTGCTCTTATACAGTGAACACTGGTAGTCAGTCACACAGACGGACAGGGCGATTCCTATAATGTTTTTCAGGGGGGAATTAATATCGTTTTTTTTTTAAATGAAACATGGCGGCTGCGGAGAAATTCTTGAAAAGATTGAAAATTTGCTTGCTTAAAGCATATCTTCTATGCATTTAAGATTGGACTGAGATGAAATAATCTTTAAAATGTAGTAATATAAAGCAATATGATACAGAAAGGTATATACTTTAGTGTTAAAATTACTTTTCATTTCCTTTCATTTGATGATTATTTCAAAATGTTATGCTTAATCTAACAGATATGTGGTAAATAAGAATAATATCTGTTTATTCCATTTTAAGATCCTAAATATAATAGAGAAAACATTTTTGATTTCACCACTATATTCTACCTTTACTTACAACAGTTACGTTGGTCTCCCGACGAAGTAATCGAACATGACATTCAAACGTACATCTCTCCGGATGAAGCCAAGTTTATTTGGTGCCAATTATTGCACTGTGCTTTCAGAGGAGAACACAATGGAAAAAAAAGACAACGACGGACTATAGAAGAAGGACAACAAGTGATTGCAGTAGCCCGCAATTCCCCTTTTGGTCAAGAGAGCTTACAATTGTATAGTCCAAAATAAAATTATGATGTGAGTTGTTTTAGAATTCAAAATTGAAATGAAATCATTTATCTTTTGTTTCGTTGTGTTGAACTATGTTGTGTTGTGTTGCTATATTTTGTTTTGTGTTGTCTTGTTTTGATAATGAGGATGTTATTTTGTCAGATATTTACTGTAAAAATCCTCTTTTCCTTTTGGCACAACAAATACACATTTGTTTTAATGAATATAAGATTTTTACAATTCTGTGCGTCCAAAAGCGCTTTTCTTGATTAAACTCCTTCAAGAACGCTCAAAAGTATACAATTGACAGCCAGATGTATAAAGACGTAGAAACGTTAGGCGGTATATGACCAAAAGGAACCTAGAAATAATAGCCAAATTTATTAATGTGAACTTTTACTGGTGGAGTTAGAACCTTATTTGCCTAATATTTTCTTGATTTATCAACGGGAATTTTCTTAAAAGAAGATTATAAGTCATGGCAGTACCGAATCACTGACTACTGATCTGGCGATTACTTCACAGGCAGTGGAATCATCCCAGATCTTATATATGAAAATTAAACTTTAAAATTTTCATGCGTTTGTGCTAACACCTAGACATTTGAATGCCAGAGATATAAATATACGTAAAAAAAATTAGAAGCAATATGACTAGAAGATTATGTAACACATGCAGGTCTTAAAATAGTCATTGTCGAAAAGTTGGTTGCTGTTGCGATAATCTTTTTTTAATATTGTTAGTATTTTCTCTAGTTGAAATGGTTATTGATTATTTAATCAAGTGTTATCCCATATCATTATTTGTCTTTACAAATTCTACAATTATTACAACATTTACAACAGAACACATTCGGATTTTTTTTTTATAGAAATTAAAAATACAAAAATCACATCGTGTAAAATAATCTGACGATATAGTCACGCAAGAATATCATCATCTGTAACAATACCCAATATCAGTATCAATATAAATTTTGACATTTTAAATAATATTGATTTTTTGATATTTGCTTTTTAGCTCATCTGGTCGAAAGGCACTAGGCGTCCGTCGTCCATCGTCGTTAACTTTTACAAAAATCTTCTCCTCTGAAACTACTGGGCCAAATTTAACCAAATTTAGTCCAATCATTATAAGGGTATCTAAATTTTAAAATGTGTCCTATGACTTCCCTTGCCGAACAAGATGACTGACATTGCTAAAAATAGATCATAGGGGGTAAAATAAAAGTTGTGTCTATAATTTTGAAAACTGCTATGAATAGAGAAAATCTGACAGGTGCAAAAATTTTCTAAATGTTGAGATCTATCTGCTGTCTATGTACGTCAAAACTGTCTAACGACTTTTTGTAGGAGTTATTGCCCTTAAATGTCAAATTTTACCATTGTTTCTATTTTGCTTATTATTTTAAAAACTATAAAAGATAGAGAGAAACATTAATTAGAAATAATTTTATGAAGACGAGATCTACAAATGGGTCAACATAAGTGAAATTGTCAGAGGACTCCTTATAGGAGTTATTGCCCTTTAAAGACGATTTTTCCATTTTTTGTGTTTTTTATTAATATTTTATAAAAATCTTCTCCTCTGAAACAACTGGGCCAAATTTAACCAAACTTTATGAAAATCATTATTAGGGTATTTAGTTTTAAAAATGTGTCCAATGATCCATCCTGCCAACCAAGGTGGTCGACAAGACTAAAAATATAATATAGGGGTAAAATGTAAGTTTTGCCTATTATCTTGAAAATCGGTTTGAATAGAGAAAATCCGAAAGCGCAAAAATGTCCAAAATGTGAGATCTATCTGCTGTCTATCTACGTCAAAACTGTCAGACGACTTTCTATGGAGTTATTGCCCATAAGAGTCAAATTTTATCATTTTTTTTTTTCATTTTTTCCTCATATCATAAAAAATTATAATAGATAGATAGAAACTATAAATAGCCAAAATGATCAACAAGACCAGATCTACAAATAAGTTACCATGACCAAAATTGTCAGTCGACTCCTTATTGAAGTTATTGCCCTTTATAATGATTTTTCCCATTTTTAGCATTTTTGCCTATTATCTTGATAATTATTGTAGATAGATAGCAAATTTAGATATCAAAAACGATCAGCAAGACAAGATCTACAAATAAGCCTCATTGCTGAAATTTTCAGTCGACTCGTTATTGGAGTTATTGCCCTTTAAAGATGATGTTTACCTTTTTTTATTTTTTGCCTATTATCTGGAAATGTATAATAGATACAAATGTAGAAAGAATCTTTGAAAAGCAAAAAAGATCAGCAGGACAAGATCTACAAATACGTCAACATGACTTAAATTGCCAGTAAGCACTAAATAAAGTTATTCCCCAATAATGATAATTTTTACTTATAAGTGGCCATTTTTGAAGATGCAGGTGGGCGACACATGCTTTTTAGAGCCTCTAGTTACTGTTTTCCTTTGAAATTTATACGCGAGATTTGAAATAATCGATGTTTAAACCAGCACTCACTTTTGGAATAAGCAAAAATTAAAAAAACACAAAAACAAGCATACAAGAGCATAGCATATACTATATAATACTTATAAAAATATTACGTCGTAATATTATCCTGGTTGAATTACATGCTTGATATATGGAATCTTTCTTTTCTGTGCGAGAGGGAGTGATTCTCTATTTACTGTATTTGGCAGTTTTAAAATAGTACATAACACAACGGGCTGAAGTTATGCAGTTACGGAATTTGTGTGTGTTGTCAACTATTTGCAATTTGAGAAATAAGCAATTCATAAATAGGTAAACAATATGAATGAGACTGTCACTAACTTAGAAGTAGAAAACAAAGTTAAATGAAAATAACAGAAATCAAAAACAATCTGTAAAAGTATTATGCTTTAATTATCAAAAATATGTACGTGTTGTCGTTTAAATAAAGATAAATTACTTACCTATATTCTAAAACAGTTAAAAGGAATACAAAAAATATTAAAAGAAATTCTAAAAAGAACCGCATTTCTTCAAACGGAACACAGGAGTAACATGTGTTGCAGTATCGACTAAATTCACGTCATCAGCTTACATGTACATGTATCAGATATTCAGTCAGTCAATCTAGTTATATGAATATTCATTATTCGACTATAAATAAAAGTTTGTAAAAATAATAACGTTTGTGTAGATTCCATGAAATATTGATTATCTTGCTTTAAAACAAGAAGTACCATTGGAAAGATACGCACACCCTCCCTTTGAGCTTTGATTAGCACTGTTTAAGTTTTTAAACTGATGAAATACTATACGGGTTCTGAGGATGGAACATACTACAAGAATACTGTCAGTGTATTTGTTTATTCCTATAGAAAACTAATGTGCCCTTCTAATGGAAGATTCCTTTATTGTTCGGACTAAGAGTTAATGGCTTAACGTCTTTACTACCAAACGAAACATCTCTTAATACATATATTCACCTATATTTGCAGATATTCAGAGGAAAAAATGTTCTGTTAACCATTAACTCTTTTTGAAATATACAATTCAAACTCATCCGTATCTATTTACTCTTAAGTTTGTTTTTTTTTTCTTCGTATAAGAATTTCTCATAGAATTTTTGCAGCCACATTAATGATAAATGCAACAACTTTTCGATCCCTATTATAGATTTTATTTTTCCTTGATTGTAATGTTCCAGTTTCTCCTTCTGATAGTGTATACATTTTTCCGCTGGTTCAGTGTGTGCTTGTTTCAGCGAGATCTAAGATTTCAGTGAACGTAATATTTCCATTTTAAGATTTTTTTAACCATACAGATAAAGATACTACTAATTGATCAAAGCGTATACTAAATCTTATAAAACATATACAGAACGAAAAAGAAGGCATATTGAAGGCCGTACGGTGATCTTTAAATGCTTTCTTCAACTTCATTTGCTCTCTGGTGGATAGTTGTCTCATTGGCAATCATACCACATCTCCTTATTTTTACATATATGTAGTATTTATTCATTTTCCATAATAATAAATTATTTATTGAAGAATCCATATTGCCGATAAATATACTACAAATCAGTATCGAATCACCTCAATAAAAGTACATTCTAAAATTATAAGCTACTTGCAAATCCACGAAAAGGATCAGTCTTTGAAATTTCATTCAAACCCAATTCTTTGTAGCAGATATACAGAAAGGCGTAATAAGCTAGATGCTTACCAATCATCAACTAGAAGTTAATTCTACAGCATAAGTCTGTTAATAGTTTTCATGGCAATCAATGCCATAATAGTCTCTGTTTGGCTTGTCCGTCTATCCAGCCGGATTCGAAATCTGCTGCTGCAGTATTAGGAACACGTGATCATTGATTCAATGTGGAACACATTCAGTATAATTTCTTATAGATCTGTTCTGACATCTTAGTGTTACAGAGACATTCAAACATATACTATCATGGGTACATAAATCATTACCTCCTTTCGATTTTAAAAATTCAACGTAAGCTCTTGGTCTATGATGGAGCCTTTTTAGCCTCCCTGTGTAAACATTAGTTTCGATATTAAAACATGCGATATTATTTAGTCTAAAGATATATTATGGAAGACCAGTTTATCACAGGACGCTATACAGTAATATTATTTGTAGGCAAAAAAGTGAAGGAACTGTCCTACTTTCTTTTTGGCGTAACATACTTATTTATGGTGATGATAATAACACTTCCTAATTTTCGTGCTTTTTCGGATTTTCCTTTATCAGGAACACCCAAAACAAACAATTTCAGCCAAGGTTGTACAAATACTTTAAGAGCTATTTAACCAAAAATTAACTGAAAAGTGTAGCCAAACCCAGGTAAGGTTACCTTTGTTTTCAATAGAGTTAATAGTTTCTCAATAATTTATGAATTTATTTTTGCAAAATAAAAATAACAAATGTATGTTATTAATCATGTCAGTGGCTAAACACTGAGGACTGGGCTAACTGTTACAATATTATTTCATTTTTGTTCAATTTTTGCTCATGATGTTATTTGCCTTTAACAGCAATTTGCTTAATTTTGAATTGAAACAATACAAATTGTGTATTTTACCTGTTCAAATATATTCTGACATTGAATAAGAACTTGTTATCCTGCACTGCTAAATACGTTGCTTTGTAATAGCTTCTCCGAGTTACATGCCGCCACAGATATTTGGTTGTAGGTCGGCATGATTACAAACTTTTAGATCGATTTCAGAACAGCCAGCGTTCTTTGGTACGGTTTTATATTATTCAAGTTTGCAAGTACATTACATGGCCATACTAATTCGTCTCCTACACTTTTTTGCAATGTATTTCATATAAAAATACGTTTAAATGTTTTTAAAGGCATTTATGATTGAACAAACCACACGTTAAAAGACTCAGAATCGTCTGCATTATAATTGTTTATTTGGCCATAAGTTGTTTCTTTGTTGTTTTTGTTTTCTCCTGTTGTGAACATATATAACTTTTTTTTACATTTTAATGTAATTGAAATACATAACAAATTTCTGGAAAAAACCAACTTGTATCTATATCAGCAGAAAATGAGAACACTCCTATAAAAAATATGACCAAATAAAAAAAATAATAACCTGCAAAATTCTGCTTCTATTGGTATCAAACAGAAATGCACCCATAATATTTTTTTTTGAAAAATTAAGTTTTTTGTTGTTTTTTTTTTTAATATTTAGGAAAAATTGTATTGGACGAATACTTACCCATGTATAGTGTAGTCCATTATACCGATATTGTAGCGTTGAGTGCTTTTTGTGAATTTACTTCATTGTGCATTTTTCTGTGTACCTTTGTAAATTCTGGAAATGTATTAAAGAAAATTGGAAAATCACATTTTGTTTTAATTTTAGTATTTCACAAGACACGACTGATGCGTGAAGTCCTGTGAAAAGTACAAATAATAAAATGTAAATGATATAAATCGAAGGAGGTGAAATACACAATGCAATATTTTAACTGTACGAAAAATGTGTTTCACTTTCCAACATTTACGTTTGCCAATCAAGGGATTTTTTTTTATATTTCAACTCCTCTTATTCAGGGTGATAAGCATACACAGTTATTGATATCCATGTATTTCCTGGTTAAGTAATTCTTAAATAATACGGTATTTATTCTTTCGCAAAACTGATCAAATGGACGGCTTATTTTAATCAAACAAAATTAGAGCTTGCATACACTTGATATATTTTTAAAATTAAAAAATAACATATTGAAAATACCCATATAGATTTAATTGTAAATTATTATGTAAAGTTTAAAAAAAATCCAATTCGTTTATTAGCTTGATAGGCTTTTAGGTTGTCATCTTTTCTTCATTCCACGCAGAGTATATTTTCCTTTTGATGCGCTCTACTGTTGAAAAATTAAACCTTGTATACAAGCATAATTTGAGCATGAACCAAAGAAATAGACCAAACCCTATTAATATCCAAATCCAAAAATATGTACAAGAGACGTTTTAACTATGCCTGGAAATAATTGATAGCTAGGAACAAATTAGTGAATTAGAGAACTATTACACAGTCAATTTTTCATAATGGCTAAAGATATTTCTCCTATTAATATGCTCCGCGTTTTAACACATGGTGTGACTCAATAACTGATATTTTAAGCGAAGGAGGTCAATTATACGCAGCACTACGTAGTTTACATATGCACAGGTCTTTGAGATGACATGTACCTATTTGCTTTACTTGACTTTAAGGATCTCATTCGTATATTTTCCTATTGATTTTAATCCATCTATTGACAATGTCGATCTGGTTCGCATCTTGTATCTTGTAAGTAGTACATAACAGTCGCTATTAAAATGTTTGTTATGAAATTAAAAGTTTTTCGAGGAACGGTTGCAAAATCCTGAAATTAGTTAAACCTAAATACCGAACGCAAATAACAACAACCAAGAGTTGCATTTGAAAGAAATGGAGTGTATTTCTGTTTAGTGTTGTGCGATTTGGTGTGAACATTTGTTTTTCTCTTGTGTCTATGTTATGAATTAAGGCAACTGAGAATGGAAATGGGGAATGTGTCAAAGAGACAACAACCCAATCAAAGAGCAGAAAACAGCCCAAGGCCACCTATGGGTCTTCAACACAGCGAGAAAATCCCGCACCCGGAGGCGGGCTTCAGCTGGCCCCTAAACAAAAATGTGAACTAGTTCAGTGAAAATGGATTTCACACTAAACTTGTAGTTTACCGATGTTCAATCGATTAGGAAGAGACATTTAAGGTAACAAACAAAAGTTGAGGAAATTCCCCGACCTCCAAAAGGAGCGAGACCGGGTAAGGGTCTCCCTGAGCGAGCGTAACGTATTAACTAAGATATGTACATTTGTCATAGATTCTAGTTTGAAGTCGTCCATCTAATTTAATATCGAAGAAAATATCAATACATGAAGCTGACTTTCTACTTTCGGAGGTATACCTAATCTGTTCACTGGGATATATGAGATGTAAGCACTCATTGAAATTTGGGTTATTATAATATCATAAATAAATCATAAAGGGAAATTTAAGAACTTTGCAAGATGATTTTTTTGTCTTTTAGAGGGATTTATATGCATTCTGCTTCATATGAGTATAAAAATGAGTCGGCCAGTAGTGGTGCACAATAAGTATTTATTGAAATACAAAAATGAGTCGGCCAGTAGTGGTGCACACTAAGTATTTATTGAAATACAAAAATGAGTCGGCCAGTAGTGGTGCACAATAAGTATTTATTGAAATACAAAAATGAGTCGGCCAGTAGTGGTGCACAATAAGTATTTATTGAAATACCGACTGTCTCCTGAAAATCAATCCACCAAACTCTACAAATATGTTGTCAATCAAAAAGCTAAGCATTTAGATGACATTATTTTCGGTAGTGTATTGTTGTTGGGATCAGTGAGATTCATCACAAAATAAGACTTTTAGTGACCTAAAACAATGAATTTGTATCTACGTTTCTCAATTTTGTAGAAAAATCTCTGTTGAATGAGATGATGTGGTCTAT